AAACCTGCAGGAAGGGCCGGGGATTTAGTTCAGTGGTTCCACCACCCGCCTCTCTCAAGTGCAAGGTCTTGATTTCAATCCTTGATACCAAAAAATAAAAAAAATGCAGGAAAGTTTGTGGTTTTAAGTTGTCTTTATTTACCTGTTCCCCTGCTCGCAGCAGTAATAAAATGGCAACCTACATTTTCAGTGTGGGACACTGGTTCATAGTGGTTCTCAAGGGAACAAAGAGAATTTATTTGTAAACTATTTTGTATGTCTATTCTAATCTGCCTGAAGGACTGATGCAAGGGGCTTGCTTGGTTCTGTTTTGCTTAAAGGACCTCACTCAAGGCTAGAAAAGTTCAGAAACTGTGAGGCTAACAACCCCTAGGGGGTTACTGAAAAATAGAATTGTTGAGATACTGAACAGACTGCATAAAGCAAAGGAGGAAAGGCAGGAGAGTTTCTTTGGGGACTTCAAAGCCATCCAGAAATCGTGAAGAATTCAGAAAGCCACACACGTGCCCAATCCAAGGGTCAATGCAAGCTGTCAAAGTGAAGAGACACCTAGCATAGAGCCAACAGCAAATAGTAGGAATAGTTTCCTTCTTCTCCTTCTCTCTCTCTCATTTCCCTTCTACCCGTAATATTCTAAGCATTCAAAGAAATAGCTGTCAGATGCTACCTAAATATAGGCCAAGAAAAAAGAGTATTCAATGACTATATAGGCACAGAATACATGCTGCAAAATACTTAAAGTCAGGAAACAAAAATACCACTACAGCATTCAATTTATCATACTCTCCTGAAAACATCTGCTCCAAAAGTCTCAATAGGGCTTATTTTCAGGGAATGTCTTACTTTTTCATATATAACAATTTCGTTTATTCATGTACAAAATTTACATTTATTCAAATAAAGTCATGTCATCTGGAACATCATCATAACTCACCAAACCCCTGATTTCCAGCCTGAATTTTTTGCAACTCCATCTCCTAAAGATCCCATTGACCCTAATCTCTCATGTCCAGTAATAGGGCTCTCCTTAAATCAGTACATCTTGTCCATAACCTGCTCATAATGCATTGGCAACACAGCTGTCAATGATTTTATCCCATGAATTCTTCACCTAAGTTTCCCATAAATGAAGTGCTAATTAAATGCTTACAAGACAGGAATGGCAACAAAAATGCCAGTAAAAAAATGATGGTCTACACAAAAGCGACAAAAACTGCAGGCATCAAATTCAGAAAAAGTTTATTTTACATGACTGCATTAAGTACATCCATTACAACACATGACTTACTGAATTATTAAGATTCATATAGCTGCAGCCACATCCTTCTGTTATTAAGCATTCACATATTGTGTCTGGACTCTGGTCATTTGGTAATAAGTTTCAAGAGTTCATCTGTTTACATTTACCACTTGTCAAAAGGTGCCCACATGGGTACTTACAAATACTTAATTATAATTTGTATTATCATTTATTTTAAGCACTGTAAATAATATTAGTTGAATTTAATTATATGTATTAACATTATTTTATAATTCAGTATGTTCATTCTGTGTTATAGTGTTTTACAATATGCGTCCAACTAGCTAAAAATCTTATTTGGGGGTAGGACTTACTATGAGCACCCTAAAAAAATCATGCTAGTGTTGATTTTTACGTTATGTCTTATTTTAAGGGAAATAGTTTTTTTAAAAAAGTCAAACCCTGGAAAAGGGGAAAAATCTAACTTTCACACTCAACACAATACACAATATATTGAAATGGCCCATTTCCAGCAACAAAATAACAAGGCACATAAAGAAATAGGAAGGACTATCCCATGGAAAAAGTATATTGAAACCATTACTAAAGAAGCTCAGATTGAGAATCACTAGAGAAAGAATCCAAAACAACTGGTTGATGTATGCTAAAAGAGTTTAAAGATAATTGAAAGTTATAACACAACATATCACAAATTATAAGATATAGCAAAGGCAGGTGTGTCTGAGAAGGACACTTGTACCATTAAACACTTCATTTAAAAAAATTTTTTTAAGAAAATGAAAAAAGTCCCAAAAGCTAATGCAAAGAAGGATGTAGGAATAGTGAAGATAAAAACAAGAGAAAACATTAGAAAGAATTAACAGAAGAAAAATTGGTTCCTTGAAAAGACAAGTGTCACAGGATCTTTCACTCAAACATAAATTATACAAAAGTTGATCTCATAGTTGAGAACATAATGGTAGCAACCAGAGATGGAAGAGAGTCAGGGATAGAAAGGGATGGGAAAAGTTTGATCAGTGGTTATTAAATTATAAAAAGTAAAAGTAAGGAGTGCTGGTGTGCTATTGCACAGTAGGGTAACAGTTATGTACTATAAGAAAAGTTTTTCAATGTTTTCATCACAGAGAAGTGATAAATATTTTTCAAAAATTGATTCTTTGAAAAGATACACAAAATTGCCAAACCTCTGGAGTTAGATACACAACAAAAAAGAAGACAAAAATAAAAATATTATGCAAATACTACAAACTGTATCCAAAAAATCAGAAAATTTAAATGAAATAGGCAGTCTAGAACTGCACAAATTTCAAAAACTGACTCAAAGTGCAGGATGCAGTACTATATGCTTTCAACCCCTCCATTCAGAGGCTAAGGTAAGGGCTAAAATTAGGCACAGGATCTCAAGGCTAAAATTAGGCACAGGATCTCACGGCTGGCCTAAGCAAAACAGCTAGACCCCATTTCTTAAAAAAGAAAGGATAGGGGCTGGGGATTTAGTTCAGTGGTTCTGTCACCTGCCTTGCAAGTGCAAGGTCCCCAGTTCAATCCCTGGTATCACCTCCCCCTAAAAAAGGAGAGAAGAAGATGGAGCATAAAGTAACAGGAGAAAAAAAGAAAATAAATAGATTCAAGAAGAAATAGAAAAACAAAGCAGTTCATAACAAGTAATGAAGCTGAATCAGAAATATAAAAATCTCCCACCAAAGAAAAGCCCAAGAGCAGAAAACTTCACCTACTGAATACAAAATATTTAAAAAAACAAACACTGATTCTTCTCAAATTATTCCACAAATTAACAATGATGGAATTCTTTCAAATTAATTCTACTAAACCAGTATGACCCTGATACCAAAACAGATAAGTACACAATCAAAAAAAGAAAGGTACAGGCCAATATTCCTGATGAACACAGATGCAAAAATTCCAAACAAAATACCAGCAAACAGAATCCAATGGCTCATTAAAAGTATTACATATAATCAGGCAGAATTCACTCCAGGAATGCAAAAATTAACCATCATACACAAATCAATAAATGTGATATACCTCATATTAACAGAATGAAGGAGAAAGACATGATCATATGAATGGACACAGAAAAGGCATTTGGTAAGATTCACCATCACTCCATAAAAAAGGCAAAAACTTAAAAAAAATCACTCCATGATAAAAATTCTGAATGAATTAGGTATTAAAAGAACACACCCCAATAAAATGAAAGACAAGGGCCAAGGATTTAACTCAGTGGTGTCACACCTGTCTTGCAAGGGCAAGATCCTTAGTTGGATCCCCAGTACAGAAAATAAGTAAAATAAATAAAATAAAATGAAGGACATATATAACTGATCCACAGCTGATATCACAGCAATAGGAGAAAAGATAAACACTTTCTAAGATCTGGAACAAGACAAAGCTGCTCACTTCCAACAATTTTATTCAATTTAGTACTTGAAGTCCTAGCCAGGACTAATCAGGGTTAGAAAAGAGGGTATTAAAATTAGAAGGAAGAAAGTGAACTTCTCACTTTTTACAGAGTGTGATTTGAAATACAGAAAATCCCTAAAGTTCCACACAAAAAAACCCCAAAACTGTAAGAACTAATAAATTATTTCAGCAAAATTACAAGATACAAAATCAGTAGCATTCCTATATACCAACAGTGAATTATATGAAAAAAGCATTATTATTTCAATAGCTGTGAAAAAAAAAGCCTAAGTACAAATTTAACCAAAGAGATTCTGTAGTGAAAACTGTGACACACTGATGAAAGACACTGCAGAGAATACCAAAAAAGGAACGATGTACTGTATTCATGATTGAAGAATCAGTATTATTGAAATATCCATATTACCCAAAGCCATTCATAAATTCAATGCAATTTCTATCAAGACACCAATGACATTCTTCCTAGAAAAGGAAAAAAATATGAAAATTCGAACAATCACAAAAAACCTGCCAAAGCAATCTTGAGCAAAAAGAACAAAGAAAGAGGCACAAATTAGTTTTGCGTGAGCACACACACACACATCCCCAATGGAACAAACCAACCAGCATAGATGTAAACCCTCCATCAATAACTAACTTATATTTGACAAAGAACAAGCATTAAGGAAGGGATAGTCTCTCTGATAAACAGTGCTAATAGCTAAATTTTGGAAATGGCCTATATGCCTATCAACAGGTGAATGGACAAAGAAAATTTGGTATGTGTACACAATAGAGTACTAGCATCCTCTGTAGGAAAATGGATGATTTTAAGATGATAATATTAGTAAAATAAATCAGACACAGAAGGTTAAATACTGCATGGATTCCCTTATATGAGAAATCCAAAATAAAAATAATTTAAGAGCAATATAAAAGAGAAATGATAGAAAACAGGAAGGGGAAGGAGAAATAAAAATGATTCAGATCTGGTACATGTATGAACCAATTCCCCAAGATGACTAATTATTATGCATTGTAAGCATAACAAATAAAATATATATCTATAGTGCTGAGAAAGTTACATTATCTATAAGAATAAAAATGAAAATAGAATCCCTATCTCCCACAGTTTACTGAGGCACTATTCTCAACACCCAAGATGAGGAAGCTCCCTAAGTGCCCATTAACTGATGATTGGATAAAGAAAATGTAATATGTAGACACAATAGAGTATTGTTCAAACATAAAGAAGAACAAAACTCTGTTATTTGCATCAAAGTATGTTATGTTCAGTAACAAATCTGCCAAAACAAAACCCATTACATATATAACCAATAAAACAAGAATGAAGAAAAAGATGAAAAATAACAAGTGGGGATAAAGATATAGAAAAGCCAGGTATGGTAGCACAGGCTCATAATCCCAGCACTTAAGAGGCTGAGCAGGCAGATCACCTTGAGTTCAATGTGTCTTGAGGGACATAGTAAAACAGCCCACAGAGCTGGGGATTTAGCTCAGCAGTGCCGCCTGCTTCACAAGTACAAGCTCCCAAGTTCTATCCCTGGTACAAAAAATAAATAAATAAATAATAAATAAAAACAGCCTGAACTACGTAGGGAAACCCTGTCTTAAAAAAAAAGCAAAAGCAAAAAGAAAGGTGGGCCAGGGATTTAGCTCAGTGGCACTGTGACACCTTGCAAGTGCAAGGTCCTGAGTTCAATCCTTGGTACCAAAAAAAAGGAAACTTTTTTTTTTTGAGACAGGGTCTCAGGCTGGCATTGAATTCATGATGATCCTCTTGCCTTTGCCTCATGAGTGCTGGGATTAAAGGCATGCACCACCATGCCCATTGTAAACTCATATAATGTTAGTGAGAACATAATTTAGTACTACAGTTTTGGAAAAGAGGAGGAAAGTTTCTCAAAAAATGATCATATGATCCAGCAATTTCACTACAGGGCAGTGAAATCAGTATAATGAAGAGGCATCTGTATTGCCAAAGAGTAGTATTCACAATAGCCAATAAATGATAGCAACCTGTGTCCATCGGCTAATGAATAGATAAAATTGTCTATATATACACAAGGAAATACAGTTCAGCCATAAAAAAATATAAAATTCTGTCTTTTGCAATGCCATGTATGGAACTGGAAGACAAAGTTAAAGACATGGAAATATGAGCACTGCATAGTATCACTCATGTCCAATCTAAGAAAGTTGACCTTGAGGCCAGGGATTTAGCTCAGTGGTTTGGCCACCTACCTCAAAAGTTGACCTTACAGAAGTTAAGAACAGTGGTTTCCATAAGCTGAGGAGAAAAGTAGGAAGAGTAATGGAGAAAGCTTGATCAATGGGTACAAAATTGCAATTAGGTAAGAGAAAAATGTTCCAGTGATCTACTGCAATAGGGTGACTACAAATAAAAAGCTGAAAGAAAAATTCTGAATGTTCTCACAAAAAAATATTTAAGGAGATGAATATGCTTCCTGATTTCAACATTATACATCATATATATGTATAGTAACATAATAATACACATCATAACCAGATGTAATTTTTATGTATCAGCTAAATAGGAAGTAATACTCGCATCTACTTCTTAGAAGCACATAATTTTCAATTAAAACATCTGGGTAGAAAAGTGCATATGTATTGATCCAATATATTACCTACCTTTGGTTAATATAGTGAATTAAAGTATAAATAACATCTCGAAGAACAAAGGCCCAAGCTCCTCCCAAGCCACTTTTTATATCCTTTAGTAATAAACTAACAAACAGATGATATATTTTGAGAATTCTGTGCTTCTTATAAGCATTATTTGTCTCAGCTGCTTGCTCACAAATGGCTAGAAGAATTTTCTGATAGGAATCCTAGAAAATAAACATATATTTGGTAAAAAATTATTTAATCATATATACTCAGATATTAAAAATATTTTATAATATATGTGCTGCTGAAGCAAGCACACTATCTTACAATTAAAGTAACTAAACAGAATTTAGATTTGGATTTGACATCAAATGCAACATTTACATGAAAAAAATTACTATCATAACCTTTAAAAAAGTCTTTCCAATTTATTTAGCTCTCAAATATTGTTCTTATGAAATAGTAAGTATATTCCCTGAATATATGACCAGAAGTGTCACAAAATTCCAGCCCCGGGCAGGGGATTTAGCTTAGTGGTTGCAGCGCCTGCCTTGTAAGCACAAGGACCTGAGTTCGATCCTCGGTACCAAAAAAAAGCAAACAAACAAACAAACAAAATTCCAGCCTCATTTGTACCTGATGTTAGTGCTAATACATAATATGTAAACTTACGAATGTTTTAAAAAATCATTCAGACAATTTTTCATTTAATTTTCTCTCCTTAGGACACATATATACAGATTTCTAAATGAAAAAGAAATTCTGCTACCAATTATTATACTAGCAATGTATACTCACAGGGCTTTTGGAAAGAATTTCTAAAATGCTTTTGCGCTTGGTTTTATGGCAATTGCTGATATAGGCAAATGTTGCCTTAATAACATGTGATGGAAAATAAGGTGGATTAGGAGCAGGATCCAAATCTCTAAGAGTAGAGAAAAATATAGTTATTTTTAAGACAAAAATTATCAGGTAAAAACTGGTTTTATTAACAGACCAATGAAATTCCAAAATGAAAATCTGATAATAACTCCATATTTTAAAACTATTTTTTGGGCCAGGGATTTGGCTCAGTGGTTCCTCCGCCTGCCTCACAAGCATAAGGGCCAGAGTTCAATCCCCAGTACAATAAAATAAAACTATTTTTTCTATTGAAGAATTGTGCTTTTAATAAAATTTAAAATGTCTGAAAAGCTCACATATATTGATCAAAACATATAAAATGCTTTTTACCCCCATAACTTAGATGATTTACCTAAGTGACTTTATAAATAATCTTTTGTAGTGGCAGCTCCACAAATGATCCTTACTATTACTTCACCTCAAGTCTGAATTAAAACTCTCAGTATTATAAAAACAACAGCATGGGCTGGGGATATAGCTTAGTGTTACAGTGCTTGTCTAGCCCACGTCCTGAGTTTAATCCTCAGTCTTACAAAATAAATAAAATAAAGTTTTTAGTCATGCACTCTATTAGCTTCACAATATTAGAGAGAATGAAATTAAATATCAAAAGCACTTTGTTAAACGTTATTTCTGTTTTATATGCCTAGCACAATTAGGTATATAAAAAAATAGAGGGTGGGGATTTAGCTCAGTGGCACTGTGACTGCCTTGCAAATGCAAGGTCCCGAGTTCTATCCCTGGTACTAAAAAAAGAAAAAAAATTTTCAAATACCTTACAATAAAGCTGGAAAAAAATAACTATCTTTCATATACAACCAAGCAGGTTTTGCATCCAAATTGAACTGTTCAGGAAAGGAGCAAAATTCTGGCAGCTAAAGAGTATAAAGAAAAGATGATAAAGAAAGTCAAGTCATAGATAAGAGGAGAACCAGGAACAATACACTTCAGGAAAAAAAGAAAAAAGACACAATGCTCAAATGTTACAGAAAGACTGAAGAGATTACTGGATTTGCCAATGAACAAGTGGTTGATGAGAAAGAACAAGTTCTATATAGGGAGGATACCATAAAACAGATGGAAAATTAAGTCAGTGATGACTATTTTTTGTTTTTGGTATCTTGAATCAAACTCAGAACCTTGTGCATGCAGGCAGGCACAGCACCAATGAGCTACATTCACATCCCAGTGATAGCTACTTTTAAATAAACAAATTTTTAAAAAAGAATACATGTCTAAAAACTGAAAAAGACATTTGAGGGTATCACCCAATAAACTACTTGAGGAATATGAAAAGTTGCAGTTACTTTTCTAATTTAAAATGTCCATACCCAGAAAAGTTACAGAGGTCAGTGCTTTGGCTGGCACCAAAATCTGCTGGTTCATGTAATGTCATCAATAACTCCACCACAATCTCTGGTAAATTACTAATGAATAAGTGATCAATCTGCCAAGAGAGAATATAAAAATATACTTAATATTTAATGTATTTATATCCAAGATCTGTAAGAGCGAAAAGGGCTTATATTATATCCTTACATCCATAATTATTCAGTAATGGTAAAAAAAAATAGTTCAAGACCTGCAAGATACGTAGCTAACTCTACTTTTTTGTTCTATGCAAACCTTTAGGCTGTAAAGAAAGTAGGCAAATCATACCAAAGCCTCCTTAATCCAACTCTTTAAATTTAAAGATCATTTTGACTAAGATATTAAATACAGCATTAAATTCCTCAAATTGGTAATGCTGACAATCAAATTTGCTATTAATCCATATATACTACTTCTCATCTGCATTTATCTAAAAACTCTTATAAAAGCTTTAATAGTAAAAATTCCTAGTGATTGGCAATAATACAATCTTTGTGCCTTGCAAGACCTCTCTTCAGTGCTGGGGATTTAGCTCAGTGGTTCCAGTGCCTGCTTCACAAGCGCAAGGACCCAAGTTCGAACCCTAGTACCAAAAAAAACCAAACAAACAAACAAATAAACAAAAAAACCTCTGGGCCGGGGATTTAGCTCAGCGGTTTGGTGGCCTGCCTTGCAAGCACAAGGACCCGAGTTCAATCCCCGGTACCCCGCCGCCAAAAAACAACCTCTCTTCAGACCTCTACTTGGGTGATATCCTAAATTCTAAGGATAGCTACTACCAATATCCTCTTTCATCAATAGTAGACTAAACTCCTCGCCTACAGAAGTTCGCTTTTCTTCAACCTACTTACTGCTACAGGTTCCTTCACAAATGGCATAGATGCTCTAAATAGAAATAGTCTGCTATACTAGATCTCACTCAGTGGATGAGAATAAGGAAGTATAGTGCTCTAAACTAAAAAGCAAGTGGCTACTTTACTTGAGGAATACACATCTAATAACACACCTCTTAGTAACAAAATATTTTAGAAAGTTACAAGAAAGAAACTTAATATAAGGAGACTAGACTCTCCCTTAGGCTTACACATCAGTTATCCATGTCATTATCTCTATAGCTTCAACTCTTAAAATCCAGCCTTACACTAAAGTATATCTGGATTACGTAAAGAAAAACTTGCTGACTCTTATTATCAGAGGAATAATTATTTGAGTTCCCTTACACATCATACAACTTCACTAGCTCCATATGATTTCTTTCTTTCTTTTTTTTTTTTTGGTACTGGAGATTGAACTCAGGACCTTCCACTTGCGAGGCAGGTGGTGGAACCACTGAGCTAAATCTCTGGCCCTCCATATGATTTTTTAAAAGCCTGATTTACAATATCTAGAAAAGGCACAAGCTTTATGATTTAATAGAGTTAAGCAATCTTATAAACTGTAACACTGTAGGTATTCACAACTGAGTTTTAGCAGACAGAAACTGGTAATAATTGCACTAGCACCCATATCAAAAAAGCATCTAGAAGATTCAGACAAAATGCATACATGAGACACAAAAGTAAGTCATAACTACTTGTTTCATTAGTTATTCCTTATTTACGTTCTAAATAAAAAAATAAAAATTTTACAATAAAAATTAATGTTATAATGAAAGATGCCTCAAATTTTCAAAGTATATATATAATTAACTTAATTAGCAAAAATTTAACTTATGCCTTTAATGAAGAAGCTAAGAAATTATTTATTTAATTTTTGCTTCTCTTTATTCCTATATTACAAGCTTCTTCCTCCTAACCCTACCCTACTCTAAAATTGGCTATCCTTTTGATTTTTGCACATTAAAAAAGTAAGACTAGGGGTATTTTCAAATAAAAGCTGGAATGTTCAGTGGAATAGGGTAGAGGCAAAGTGTCTTTCTTAAATTCCGTATCTCCGAAGCACCAACATTCTATCCCAAATGTCTTTTGGGAAAACTGCTCCCTGCTCACCATCTGCCTCCAGACTAAGAACTTACAACCAGTTTCACTTGAATGGGTCTAGCTAAGCAGCTAAGGAACTTGTTTCATTTCCTCATTCAAAATACATAAATAAGAAAGCTAAAAGTATTTGAGTTCATCCAAATGTAATTTTATTATTAATCAAGCATATTTAGTCATTGCTTATATCTCAAACAAGGAGTAATCAAAAATTTTACCTTGAAAAAATTAATGTTTTAATATAAGTTGTGTTAAGTAACTTTCAAATATATAAATTATTACAAAAGTCTGTCAAATCCATCTTTACTTAACTCCTTTTTAACAAATAATAAGACATTAATATATACTAGGTGGGTGGGATATATCAGAAAAAAATCTTTACCTTTATAATACTTGTATTTTAGTGGAGAAGAATGAAATAAATAATGAATACTTAATTCAAAAGTAAACTACAAGGTAGAAAGTTAAGTGTCTGGAAAAAAAAAAGTCAGTGGAACAGTATGGGCCTTTAATCCGAGCTACTTCAGAGGCTAAGGTAAGAGGATCCCATGTTTGAAGCCAGCCTGGACAACTTAGTAACACTGTGTTTCAAAATAAAATTAAAAAAGGGGATAGTAGTAGTGTGCTGGGAAGGTATCTCAATACTCCATGGGTTTAATCCACATGAGTGGGAGTGTGGGGGTGTGTTATTCAGGACGATACTCTCACTGAAACATAAAAAACTTAGTGCAAATGAAGAGAACGTACAAAGAAACATTTCCATATACTGTAGTTTTACTTGAATTTATCAGCCAGCTTACACTCATGCAGTACTGGCAATTAAAGTAAATGTTTAAAAGGCAGAATCAACCAAAGTGTTCTTTATTAAGTTTCTTTTCATTGTTATTTGTTATTAATAACATTACCACATAAATTCACATACTAGCTAAATAACGATCACAGGCTAAATTTATGTGTGATGGATTAAGTTTTTAAATTTAATGCTTATATCTCAGATCAAGTAGGGAATAAAAGATAGATAAAAGTTGAGCAATACCTGTTTTCCCAATAGGTTTTCACCTTTAAGCATATCATAGACCTCGGTAGCAGTCACTCTTTGCTGTGCCATCCTACTGTCTGCAGTGCCCTCATATGCAAAATAAGGAAGAATATTTACAAGAATCTTTGGAAAACAGCCTATTAGAAGCCTTTTCCAATCTTCTTGAATCTGATTAGCAATAGACTTCACGTCATCAAAATAACTTCTAATCACCAAATGTGGAATCAAAACCTTATAATAAGATCTAAAGATATAAAACAATTAAAATATAGGTTATATTATATATATACATTTTCAAAGTAAAATTTTATAATGTAACTATTAAATAAGTGATTAACCTATTCAAAATTAGAGCATCACTTTAATCAGTAAGCACTCTTACTTTTATTTTATAAATGGAGAAATAAAGTTAAGTAAATTCAAATATAATCACACTTAAAAAAACTCAAAGCTTGGACTATCTTGCCTTAACTGTCCAATTAAAAGGAGAGGAGAGACCTCAATTTTTATTTATTTCTTATGCATAATCAACTTAATACAAAATTATTATAAAATGAAATATAAAAGCTATTCATAAATACAAAGAACAAATATAAACACTGTTGCTGCCAAAAGGAATAAATAATAATGACTGTTAAATTCAATTCTGATTTTTTTGTTGTTGTTGTTGTTTTTGTTTTTTTGAGACAGGGTCTCACTATGTAGTTGAGATTGTCCCGGAACTCACTATGTAGCCCAGGCTGGTCTCGAACTCACAGCGATCCTCCTGCCTCAGCCTCCCGAGTGCTGGGATTACAGGCGTGCACCACCACGCCCAGCTCAGATTTTTTTTGTTTTTGAGACAAGATGTTGCTATGTAGTTCAGGCTGACCTCACTCAAGATCCTTCTGTTTTAGTCTTCCAAGTGCTGGGATTGCAAGCATATGCCACCACAAGCATATGTCACCACATCTGGTCTGTCTGAATATCCTTTTTAAAGGCAACTATCTACAACTCCTTATCTATAAAAATGCTGAAAGCTCTATAAATATTTGAAACTCACCCATAATAAACTACATGTAAAATGCCTAGCAAAGTTTCTAGCACAGAACAGACTCAACAAACAGCAGATGCGTTCAATAATCCTGATGCATAAACATTACTCTTCAGTTATTTCAAGTCTCTTCTCAAAATTCTGAGAGGGAGTTAGCAAAATCAATTATTTTACAATAAACTTCTAAATCTAATATAAATATATTGTCAAGCAGCAAAAAAGAAAAAAAGAAAATGAAAGCAGAAAATTAGCCACTTTGTAATTTATCATTTTTTTTCCAGTGGAAAGGAAATCTAACATCAAATATTAAAGCTGAATGGGACCCTACAATCTCCTTGTGTAATTTCTTTACTTAACATATCAAAGACCCTATGCTCAGACAAAATTTACATAGCTCGCTCAAAGTTACACAGCTGATTACTGGCACACCAAGGATCAGATCCTAAGACTAGTGATAGCCTTCAATACAGTCTCACTCAAATAAGCTGTCTTGCTTCTTACATATACCATGTGCTTCCCACTGAGTCTGGGGTGGGGAAAGTATTGCTGGGGTCAGGGGGGACTGCAAAAGACCTAACTTTAAACATATTTCTCATGTGGCATGTATAAACTTACCTATAAAAATCCTCAACATTTGAGCAATTTAATAAAATAAAAGGAAAAGAAGATAAGCCGTATGCAGTATCTTGAAGATTTAGCCATTCTGAAACCAGGTAATCTAAATGAGAAGCCATGAAGTCTTCTAAATGTTTACATCCAAAAGTTTCAGAAACTTTCTTTAAAACCTGCACAATATAAAAAGCTGATGCTCTAATGAAAATTTCATTTACATTTGTATTATTTGTCACAATAGGACGTTGAAGTATTCATTTAAGTTTTCTATAATTTGACTTCATCAATGATAGGAAAAGTAAAAGTGAAAATAAAAGTGTATTTAATATAATTAGCATAGTATCTGGCACACAACAAACCATTAATAAATGTTATATGAATAAAAACATAAAAATATAATTTCCAACATCTGCTATATCTCTATCTCAAATGAAAGACTAAGACAAAATTGTTCTTCTTAATCTTAAATTCAAATTTTACAATATTCAAGTGTTACATATGACATATATTAGTTAGACAGAATAATAGTATATTTTTTAAAAACTTAACAGCGAAAGCTTTAAAGTTAACTTGTATTACCTTATAACAGACTGATTACCAGAGTGTAGAATGATTACCTACAGGTTAGCCTACTATAATGCTCCATGGAAACCATATTGTAGAATGTTAAATTACATGTCAGCTCATATTTTCTCACATAAAATTCTACAACAATGCAACAGAAAGGCCTGGAAAATACCAAACCATAATTTCCAAGATGGTAGAACAGGAAAGGGAGCCACATTCTCTAATACTGGGCTAACGTGATTGCAAAGCTTGGACCTAGTCTTTCTTTCCCAATGATGTGACCTAAATGCCCAGAATCCTAAAATTTGACTACTAGCCTTGTAGACCCCATGTGTTACCCAGAACCTATGAGGCAAAAACAATTAAAATTGCTCTTGCCTCCATGTTCCCCTCAATAAATGTTACTCCAGAGCACTTGGTCTGTGTCATTTGCCTTTGTTAGTTCATAAATGAATGCCCTGTGAAATTCTCAAGGTGGATGTAAGAAACGACAATGCATATAATTAAATTTACCACTTAAACAGTTATTAAACTATTTTCCTGTATTCCCAACCTAAAAATGAAATTATTTCCAAGTTTTAAATAAGTGCCACTTAAAAAATTTAGCTTTAGGGCCAGGGATTTAGCTCAGTGGTTCCACCTACCATGTGCAAGATCCTGGTTTCAATCCCCAAACCAGGAAAACCAGTAAGTTATCTAAGGAAGAATATAACAGAAAATATATATCCACATGTACCTTTTTCACAAGGTGAGGATCTAATCCATTCTCTTTCACAGATTTGCACAAGGCAAACAAGGCTTGTTTTTCACAAATAGGACTAGAGTATAAAACCACAGCTATCATCATCAGGAAAACGGATTTTCTATTATAAGTCTCATCCAAAAGTTCAGGATTCTCAGCATCATGTGACTTCAAAAGAAATACAAAAGCAATAGTGCAAAAATTTAAACATTACAAATGAATCATTCAGGCTAAAATTAAAGTATTCCATGACAATATCTAAGAAGCCTGTGAATGTGCTTGCTTCGGCAGCACACATACTAAGAAGCCTGAGAAGAATTTAAAAATCTATAATGATGGAGAAAATATGTTCTCTTTATGAGGTCTTATGGGAAGAACTGCCAAAGAAAAAAGCCTTTCAGTGAAATGTAACTGGATGTAAAAAGGAAAGAAATGGCAAAAAGAGGGTAAGATATTAAAAGCTCTCTTCAAAAACGTTTAATTTCTAAGATGACTTTTATCATTAACATAGCTTAATGCATAGCTGTCTATTCTTTTTGTTTATTTGTTTTTTGAGACAGGGTCTTACTTTATAGTTCAAGCTGGCCCTGAATTCATTATGTACCTCAGGCTGAACTCTCAGCAAGCCTCCTGCCTCTGCCTCCCGAGTGTTGGGATTACAGGTATGAGCCACTACACCTGGCTAGCTGTCTATTCTTTTAAAAACACTGTCATCTATGTTATTAAAAGGGAAAACAAAATCGTCCAACTGGATAAAATAACATAAGTTACTAGTTTAGTGATCACTCACTACAGGGTCTCAGCAGGAATCTACATTTTTTTTTTTTACTGGTTATATTTGATATAAATTTCTCTTTGCAATTTGAGAATCTGCTACTCACTGAACCTGGTTCTGTCTTTTGATACAAGGGAAGGCCCTCATGCTTTTTTTTTAAAGTTAGTAGTAGAGTATTTTCCTAGCATGCAGAAAGTCCTCTAATTTGACCCCCAGGAAAAAAAATGCATTTTTACTCAGAGCCAAACCTAACATTTTACTGGCCTTTTAAAAGGGTTAAAAAAAAGGAGGTACCCTTTAAAAAGTATGGAATATCCAAGTCCTTTTTTCAATTTTATTCATGACAATATGCTTCTATAAATGAAGTATAAGAGAAATTTTTATTGATAACTATGTCACAATACTGATTCATATTGTGATCTGAAGCTGCAAAATTTAGGTCTCTTCCTAAATGAACTGTTGTCATGTCAGTGTTTCCCTTTTTGAAGATGATGGGCTAATTTAAAATGCATAATATATTATTATTTTCTATGAAATCTGATTTTTACTTACACTTTCCTATCTATTGAGATCCTGTTCTGAATTCACATTCTTTCATACAACTGTCTATACCACAGATTTGATAGTCATTTAATCACTTCAAGTCATTTTTAGGAATAAGAGCAAAAATAAATATATCCAAATGCTAAGACAATTTTTGCAACTTTAAAATCTTAAAAACATTTCTTATATTTAAAAGAATGTCATTTAAACCCATATTAAAACTTAGTTAAATTGATTTTCCTGAAGATATTATAAAGGACTGGGGATTTGGCTCAATGGTTCTGCTGCCTGCCTCACCAGTGCAAGGGCCTGAATTCGATCCCAAGTACCAAAAAGAAAAGATATTACAGGTAAGCTTAACCAAAAGAAATTGCTATTATTTGATCCATCTGACCTATAAACACAGCAATTACATTCAATTCATATCACTGCTTTACAGTAGCTTTATATCATAAAATACTGAGTAAAAACTCTTATGACAAACTTGCTAAAGCAACATATAGGATATGTGTAGAAAGTGTGTGATAATAGCAAACATGCGCTACTAAAATTACCACTTCTTTCATTCCTTCCCAAGCTTTCAAGTATGCATTTTCAAAAGCTGTTTGTTGAAGTTTCAAAGGAAGTGCTTTCAACAACATGGAAGAGTCTCCTTGTTTCATATGCTGGAATAATCTTAAAAAGAAGAAGAAAGAAAAAGAAAAGACAAAGTGATAGTTTTTTATTCAAACCCTACTTTTCAAAACATATTACAGACAAAATTAAGCCACTGAGTCATATATACTAGCTCTTTCTTCAAAAACTGATAAAACCTAAGTCCATTTTAATAGTTTCAGATCATCCACTTAGTATTAACATTGAATGTATAATTAGTTTTGTCCTATTAGTGAAGAGGGTCTTGTTTGTTTATTATAGTACTAATGATGGAACCCAGAGCCTCAAGCATGCTAGGCAAGCACTGTACCACTACATCCCCAGCCGGTTCTTTTTAGTTTGAAAACAAATTTTTGAGATAAGTATAAGTTGCCCAGGTTGGCCTTCACTTACATTCTCCTGCCTCCACCTACCAATTTCAAAAGATCTTTTAAATACTGCCCAAATTCGAATAACACTGCACTCCAACTGCCAGAAAAGATCATTTTCCTCTTGTCCAAAGACTTCTATTTAAACCACTCCAAAAAATGGGTGTCTTTTTGTTTTTATTTTTGTTTTTTGTTTTTTTGAGACAGGGTCTCACTATGTAGTTGAGACTGACCTGGAACTCACTATGTAGCCCAGGCTGGTCTCGAACTCACAGCGATCCTCCTGCCTCAGCCTCCTGAGTGCTGGAATTACAGGCATGTGCTACCACGCCCGGCTCAAAAATGGGTGTCTTAATGCCTTGACACTCCATTTAAACTTTATGTGATGGAGAAAAAATGATCAGCGTCTTTTTTCATAATACCTACATATTTAAGATAATTTTCAAATTTTTCATTTATACCTTTTAGCCAATCAAAACTTATAATTCTTAGGGCTGGGGATTTAGCTCAGTGGTTCCACCGCCTGCCTCACAAGTGCAAGATCCCGAGTTCAATCCCCAGTACCAAAAAAGAAACAAAAAGTTTTATAATTTTTAGCATTCCTCTAATTCCTCCAGTTTTGCTAGCCTCTCTTAAAATAGTACAACATTAAAATATGTAACAAGTGAAAGGCCAAAAATCAACAAATTCTACTTTCAAGTCATTCTTGATTTTAAGTTTTTGAATCTTAAGATATTTTTCCCCAGGCCACCATTAAATTGCTTTATTACATTCAATTAATGATCCTATATAACAGATCTTTAACTCTAGCATGTATCATCTTCTATCTGTAAAATTCAGCAAGGATTTCAACTACTATACACACTTACTGGCAACTTTGACAATGCAATAAAGACTTATTTTTTAAATTTCCAAACCAGGGCCAGGGATGTAGCTCAGCAGTATAATGCCTGCCTGGCAAGTGTAAGGCCCTGAGTTTGGTTCCCAGTACCCAAAAAAAAGATATATAAAAATTCTAAACCTGAGAAATTAAGGCACAATCTGGTTCAAGGAAATAGGCTATCAGTATATTTAAATTCTGGACACATTAGTTCTAATACTTTTATTTATTTACGTGACTGCTAGGACAAGTACTCTGTGGTGATCTATTATTGATCACTTACCTTACTTCTGAATAATAAAATTATTCAAATGATTTTCAGCTTTGATGTTTTTTTGGGTTTTTTTTGGTACCAGGGATTGAACTCAGGACCTCATGCTTGCAAGGCAGGTGACAGTACCACCGAGCTAAATCCCTGGACCCAAGCTTTGATGTTTTTAAAGCAGTATATAATTTATTTTTCAAATACACTGATTTATTTTACCTACCATCTTCAATTATCACACACACCACTGCCATAATATCATTTTAGGGGCTAACAATACACTAATGAACAGAAGATACAAACCAGTGCCTTTCAGGAGCTTAGATCCGGGTGGACAAGGAAAATTTGTTAAATACATCAAGTCATGGGAAATGTTACAAGAAAAGTAAAGTAGGGAGGTGCTGTATTCAGTGAAAGTAAAGGTGGGTGAATTTAGAAGCAGGCTGAAATTAGAGGTTTTGTTGTTGTTACTATTTTGCAATACTGGGATCAAACCCAGAGGTACTCTACCATTAAGCTGCATCCCTGCCCTTTTTTTGTTTTCCTGTTTTGAGACAGAGTCTCACTAAGTTGCCTCGGGAGAACTTGATCTTATGATCCCCTTGCATCAGCCTCTCTTGGTGCTGATGCCACTACACCTGAGTTTTATTCAGCGATTTTAAAATTAATTTGATAACTTAATAAACATATAGTCCTTAAATTAATAATTCATTAACTCTAGTACTCAAACATAAAACAGATCGACAACTGAATTATTCCAGAGCTTAACTAAGAAATATAAGAAATATATGTTCTTTATCTAAGAAAATATAATTAGCACCATGTGTTAACTATCATTTTGTAAATTCACATAAAATTATGGTAATGTCCAATTTTCTATACGTAACACACCTCTCTCGTTAATGTCTTATTAGTTTTTTTGGCACAAAGCAAGTTACTTTACCTCTTCAAGCCAGTTTTCACTGATAAAATGAAGAAAATAGTTAACATAAAACTCAGAATTAAGAAAAAATATAAATGCTATGCACACCAAATAATATGCTCAATGTTACTGGTAATATCACAACTAATGAGGTATAACTGTGCTAGACATTGCACTGCTATCTTCAGTATTTCAAACACTTCATGAAAACCTTTCCCATTACCTATTAATTGATCCTGCAGTTAACATGCGCACGTGGTGATTATCATCGGCAAGAAATTGTGGAAATACTTCATTTACTGGAAAGCCTTCTCCCATTACATTAAGAATAGCCCATTTTGAATAAGGATCAGCCTATGGGAAAAGAATAACTGAATTAAATATGAAATAAAGAGGAAAAATCACTTATTAAGAGATATAAAGATTGCTTTAAAATTTGAACGGAGACCCAACTAGTAATATGGAGTAACTCACCTCAAGCAGAGTTTTAAGGCATCTTACTATTGCCATTCTTACAGAAAATGTGCATTTCCTCTCCTTTGTTAGATGCCTGAAATCAAGTAAATTTTTCCAAGTCAAATAATCACTTCAATAAGAACCCAGTCAGAAAAATTACTAGATATTAAGGTTATTATTCAGATTGCTTTTAATATTTCTTTCTCTGCTAAATTAATTCTCATTATGTGGAACACATCACTATTCTTCACTTCCCCAAAATTTAAGCTAACAGACATTAGTTTTAAAAGGAATTCAATTTTTAATGTATATTGCTTGTTTTAAAGAATTATGCCCCTATTTGGGGCTATTGTATTTCAGCTAGCTGCATTACAATGAAAGTATTTTTTAAATTTTGTTGTATCACAGATTTCAAAAGCAGGTTTTATATTGATTTAGAAATACATAACAATCAAATAACATGAGGGCTCTAAATTACACATGTGTGCACTTCTATAAATTTCATGGTATTATCCCAGACTGTGACAATATGTATGAAATAAACAGTAACAAGGGCTCTTGATTCACTTTGGGAACATGAACAAATTTCAGCTTATTGTAACCTTCTCTATTCATCATACATGTTAAACTATTAAATGACTTAAATATCATAAACAATTTAGAGATCCAAGCCTTAAAAAAAATGTTTTTCATGCAATTAAGGAGGAAAACCTAAATTACATTCTGCTATTGTTAAAAGATACACATAGTTGCATAGGAGAATCAAAAGAAGTCGCTTCTATACAGAGTTACAAAAAGAAAATTAAGAACTCTGCAAAACAGATTGTACCTACCAAAATGCTCCAATCACTGTAAGGAACTGCCCTTGCGCCTCTTTTGTATTCTCTGTATCTATATTGTCTTGAGCTAGGTTTGTCACTATATGAAGGACATGCTTTAAAATTGTTTTACAAACATCTTGGTCACGGCGATATAAAGAACACACACTGCTGTGGTGGAAAAAGTTTATAAGCTTAGCAGACAGAATATATCAGTTAGTTTATAATTTTAAAGTAAAAATAACATAGTTGTAATGTCTTACGACAGTGGTTTCAGAAGTTCTACAACATCTTCCACTGGCAAAGGATACTGTTCTCCAGGTAGCTCCTTTAAAAGCACTAAGTACTAAAATGATGAGACAAAAAAAAAATCAGCCTTTTTTAAGATTATTTACTTTAGGGCCAGGGATTTAGCTCAGCAGTTTGGTGGCCTGCCTTGCAAGTGCAAGGACCTGAGTTCAATCCCCGGTACCAAAAAAAGAAAAAAAAAAAAAAAAAAAAGGATTATTTACTTTAAAAGCATGTACATGTATACATAAATATAAACTCCTACTTACACAAAGGCACACAGAGTTGTAAAAATTTTTTGTGGGGGTACCAGGGATTGAACTTGGGACCCTGCACTTGCAAGGCAGGCAGCAGCATCACTGAGCTAAATCCCTGGCCCTTTAAAAGGACATATAAAAAAGGCCTTTGATGTCAAACACAGCTAAATTCAAATACACGATGTATGCATATATGGAAATATCACAGTAAGTCCCATTAATTTTTACAATAAAAACATCTCCAGAAAAATAGCTTTGTGCGGTTTAAAAACCTGCAATTATATCATCTGGGACCTTTGTACTCTTAAAATGGGGAAATAACATCTCGCCAGAAAACTGCAAGGATAAGCAAAAAGGTTCAGGCTTTATTATGAGAATTCAATAAATACATTATGTTCCTATCCTCCCAAGATAACACTTGGATATTACAGACTAATTGTTAAAAATTATTCTACTAGCTTTTGCAAAGCAAAGATAATCATGGGTGCAGAGGACTATAATATCAATTATGCCCAAATTAAGCTGTGAAGAGTTAACCCCACAACTGGCTTGTTTTGAGAAAGAAGTCCAGCTGAAGCCTATGTGCTAAGGTCAGAGTAACTTGTACCAAATTCCATTCCCACAACTAAAACTTTAATAGAAAGAGACTATTCTAATTACAACCATATATTTTGTGTATGCTGTTCCTAATTCAGGAATGCTCTGTCTTGTTTTTTATGAGGCTTGTTTACATTAATTTCCTTAAAAACTGCATGTAGCTTGCCTTTACCCCAGTTGATTGTCAATAAAAGTCAGTGTTTGGTCTGGCCAGCGCCTCTGTTTGTCGTACAGGCACTGGTTGCCCTAGCACTCTGCTTGCTTTCCTAGTTCTTTTAGTTTTTGTTTTGTTTTGTTTTTCTCAAGGCTTGTGTCATATACTGGGCATGGTACTAGAGACAAACTGCAGGGGGTCTCCAGTAACAAGCAGGGAAGTACTCAAACATCCTAACCTATCTTATCTAGCCACCTTACAAGGCTGTGATACTACAGATACAAAGGGCTATGCAGCAAATACTAGTTTTAATGGTAGTTATAACTAGGCAATCAGTTTTCAAGAGCTGACAATTTTCCAGCTACACTGATAAATCCTAAGGCATTTTACCCTACGTATAAAAATATTGCTTGGACCATGGGTTTAGCTCAGTGTTCTGCCACGTGCTTTGCAAGTGCAAGGTCCCGAGTTCAATCCCTAGTATCCCCCAAAAAAATTCTTACTCCTTCTCAGATATTAACAAAATTAAATGATCCCTTTTAATATTTAATGAATCATGTGATTTAATTGAGTATCTTGAAGCAACTTTAAGCATCAAGGTTTCCAGAAAGGGCGATCACCTCTCATTAAGGATGAATTTGACCAGAGTTATGTGCCAGGTCTAAATCTTGTTTGCTAGAGTTACAGGATTATACACCTTGTCACCAAGGCCAGGAACATGACCAAGGGTTCCATGAGGCACTCAATCTGTATTTGCCATAATTATGTATTTGCCAGTTGTGTTATTCACAGGGGCTCTATTCAGTTGTTGAATCAGGACTTGGGTCAAGGAGTTGGCCTACCCAGTCAGGAGATTAGTTTGATATAAGACTACTAAGGAAATAAATAAATCCACATGAGAAGCCGGGGTTGGTTTGTCTGTTTGCTTGTATTTCCTCCAGAAAAGGGACAAAAAAACCTGGACAGATAGAAATAAACCAGGTGGTGATGAAATGGAATTACAGATATTTATCAGTAGCACTGAGAAAAGGCAAGATTCAGACTTTAATCACAATGTTATATATTGTTTTTACAGTCAAGATCTACATTTCCTGGACTAGTGTATAGTACTTTGTAATAATTATACTTAATAGGGAGAACCAAGATCTGTCATGTAAGGGTACAAGATCCCTATGATAAATGTAACTGTACTGTATAATTAAAAAGTACTAATAATCTCAATGAGAAAAAAAATTATACTTAATAGGACTAAATCTATCCAAAATTCACCCAAGTTTTAATGCTTTATTATTTACTTAAATATTTTTCACAGAACATTCAGAGAAAAAGTAAAGGGTAGGCCTGTGTGGTGGAATGTGTCTATAATCTGTTACTTGGAAGACTATTTGAACCTAGGCCTTTGAGGCCTGCTTCAGTAGCCCACCTGAGGCTGAGGACATAACTTCAAAAGAAGAAACCAAGAGAAGGAAAAGAAAAAGTATATTTTACAGATAGTCTCTCAGATTCATTTCTCAAGAAAGTAATTTGCATTCTGATTCAAAGGCACTATGTGATTCTTACATGTCAGACCATTATATTTAGACAGCAACACCAGATAGAATCAAAGAGCTTCCTCATTTCACTTTACTTACCATGTGTAAGTGGAGGGATTTAGTAAGATCTAGTGTGCTAGAATCAATTAACATTAACAATTTTCTCCGAATATCAGCAGCTCTAAATGACACGTACTTAGTCTGAGAGGTAGTTACACACATACACAAGAACTTGAGCATGTCTAAAAGAAGTAGATCTTGCTTTGACAGATACTCCTCTGCTAAAGGATTCATAGAACCTAAAAAGATAAAAGCACTTCTTAATGATAAGAGAAAGGTACAAGAGACATACACTGAATATAAACTTGAACATCTTTCTTGTTTTCTGTGGTCCAGATAGTTGAGCGTGTAGTAGTTTTTTCCTTCACTGTAAATTCCTCTCATGGATAATAAAATAGAAAACTAATACATTTAATTAAATTCAGAAACTTAAAAGAATATACAGAACGATCCTTATAGCATATACTAAGGTAAAACAAAAAATTTAGCATAAAATGGATGTCAATTCAGTTTCCTATAATGCTAAATTATTATGGAGTGGTTAAAGAAATCCCAAGTAGTAAATATGTATTTACCAATGGTACTTTGGTTCTCTGCAGGATCATTTGCATCATTTGCACTACTAGAAGGGTTATCATGAAATAAATTCATAGATGATGACTCATTCACATCGTTTAGATTTTCATTAGTATCATCTTCCACTGATTCTACTTCCCCATAGTCAAATGGATTTTTGATAAAGGATGCCTTTAAAGAGAAACAAAGATCTTTTCAAGCTGGCTTCTTTCAGAAACATGCTATAGTTAACATTTTCCTAATTCATAGGCAAATGCATATAAGCTATAAATGTATCTAAATAACACACAACTTTAAAAAATAATTTCTTATGTTGTCTTACAATCACCCCATAATGTATTGAAAAATCATAACTTACTTTGTACCCCATAAATATATAAAACTATAAGAATTTTATAATACCCAAAACTTATTGAGAAAGGTATGAGAAAAATAAACCATTGTGACAATTTTGGAAGACAATGACAATATCCATCAAAAAGTAAAATTCAAGCCAAGTGAGGTGGCACACGCTACTTGGGATGCTGAGGCGGGAAAATCGATTGAAACCAGCCTGAGCAAAACAGCAACACCATGTCTTAAATTAAACTAAACTGAAGTGAACTAAACTAAATGTAAAATTTAATTCTTTTTGAACAATCAACTCCCTTACTTGACATTATCCTACATCTTTTTTTTTCTGTCTATTAAACAGCCTTTTATTGGTTTGTAAGAGCCTTTTTTTTTGGTACGTGGGAGTGAACTCGGGTCCTTGAACTTGCAAGGCAGGCAGCGGAACCACTGAGCTAAATCCCCAGACTTTGTTCTATATCTGTCATACAAACTTATAAGTAGACAAAATAAAATAGAATATCTGTATAGCTGAATGCTTTATAACAAAAAACAGCCACTAATATTAATTAAGAGAAGATGGGCATAGAGAAAGACACACACATACCCACATAAACCCACACCCAGAGACCACCAAAAATAATGTATACACACTCCAGTAGTACACTGTACTAATAAATGTCTGGAAGCTAATGAACACATTGCTTTGAGTACCTCTTGTAACTGTAGAGGCCAAAGGTAACTTTTATTAATCTCCTGATGATAAATATTTTAATAGCAAATTTACTGAGACAAGTTTCTCTTTTCTTGTTGTATACTTTTTTTTATGTACTATGTGTATATACTATTATCACATAGTAGAGTGCCACACACTGCTAGACAAAATACAGCAGTTAATAGCTTATAAAATACATACAGTGACAAGGAAAAATGACCAAGATTTGTCATGAAATTTAAGAGGTTTTTTTTTTCATTCAATAGATATTTAATTACCTATAATGTATGCGAGGCACTATTTCACACAGCAAAGCATGTGTGGTATAAGTCCATTTGTATAAAAAAGGAAATACCACAGCTAATGATCTGGCAAGTTTTTAGCTTATTTTTTAAAGAATTATTATTCTGAATTTTAATATAGTGTGGCATATGACTAGATACACCTTGATGATTATCCAATCTTTTAGTCTTCTTTTTTACTGAGAAACTAAAAGCCTGGTGGTATTGATATTAAGAAGCAGTCAAATATATTCCCCCTAAACCAAATAACTTCATTTGTTTCCCATATTTATAGAAATATAAGACACTATTATTCTGAAATGCATTCTTTTTTTTTTTTTGAGACAGGGTCTCACTATGTAGTTGAGACTAGCCCAGGCTGATCTCGAACTCACAGAGAACCTCCTGCCTCAGCCTCCCTAGTGCTGGGATTACAGGTGTGTGCCATCATGCCCAGCTCTGAAATGCATTCTTAATTAAGAGATCTTTTTCAAAACTTTGATACTAAAAATCAACGAAATATAATAATAAAAGAGGGAGCACACTTACCAAACTTTTACAAATATCTGCAATGTCATTCATCAGCTTTGATGTTAACAATCGTAGGAAAAAGCCAGATGTAATCTTATTTGGATTTTGCTGTAGTTAAGAGAAACAAAGAACCAAGCAACAATTATTCTTGACTACAATATTTTCTCTGTCTAGAATGCAATGTAAATAAAGAAGGCCAGTACATGTTTTTTGGTAAACACTAACCTCTTTTCTTAAGAGTAATAACTACTAGAGTAAAAGTCTTTCATTGGACTTAGAAAACATTAAAGCACAACCTATTTATTTTAAATTTAAGTAATCAATAAGTGTAGGTTAGAGTTTACTCTTTCTTTCTTTCTTTTTTTTTGGGGGGGGGGTTGAGACAGGGTCTCATTATGTAGTTGAGACTGACCTGGAACTCACTATGTAGCCCAGGCTGGTCTTGAACTCACAGTGATCCTCCTGCCTCAGCCTCCCAAGTGCTGGAATTACAGGTGTGTGCCACCACGCCCAGCTAAAGTTTACTCTTTCATTTCTCTCCTTAGCATATATACAAAAATCCACGAAATTCATTACAAAACCAAAAATACATACTGATAATATTGACACATGCCCATATACTTAATGTCAGCTTTCAAAAATATTTCCAATTATTAACCCTCCAGCCTGGTTCTGCTACCCCACAAGCCAGCTCCAAATCAAAACAATGATTACATACAATAGTAACCTTATTTATCACTGTTTTATTATTTTTTTTGAGACAAAGTCTCACTAGGTAGTTCAGCCTGGCTTTGAACTCATTGTGTAGCCCAAGCTGGCCTTGAACGTGTGGCAATCCTCCTGCCTTGGAGTTTCAAGGTCTGGGATTACAGGTATGGAACACCATGCCCAGTTTATGTATCATTTAATTTAAATTAATAAACTTATAAATGGACAAAAATACCACCACCGACAAATAATCTACCCTATGAAGACTATACTACACCAAATAAGAAAATCTTACCTTGCTACAGTTACAAAAGCAACTTGTACATAGACACATCATATTTCTCAGTGACCCAATTCTAGATTCCTCATCTGTTTTATTTTTAAACAGAGAGATACTCTCTCCTGCACATTGCATTAAAGACTATTTAGAAGAGGAAAAAAAATACAAATTCCAGTTAAAATCAGTTTAGTATTGCTATTTAAAATTTCACTTAAGAACCAAAGTACTTTTAGAAATTGTTCATAATCATGCAATAAACTTAGAAATTATGAACAAAAAAATGACAAATCTTATACCTTGTTCTCATTGTAAATCACACTATAGACATTGGTACCAAGAGATGAAAAAATTTCAAGTTTAGAATCAACTGGATAAATATACTTAACAATTCCTTTTAATACTAAGATACATCATATAAAGGTATAAAACATTAATGATGAATGCAACTTTATTGTATACCTAAAATGTACCAATAAATTTAATGGAAGGAAAAAAAAGAATTCCTTTTAATAAATCACAGGTAAAACTTTTCTAAAAGTATAGGTAAAAATCAATGATACTGATACCAAATTTTAAAATGAAATTATTTCATTTACTACATTTATAGTTAGTTTATAATAACTTCAAATCTTAAGACACATAGATAGTATCATTCCTTCTCAAACTGCATAAATGAAAGAGAAAGAGTTAACTTATGCATGTTGAGTATCTCTTATCCAAAAATGACTGGGACCAGAAATGTTTCGGATTTCAAATTTTTTTTTCCGATTTGAGGATAGTTACATATACATAATGAGTTATCAGAGAGATGGGAACCAAATCTAGTATACGTGTTGCTGAAGCGAGCAGTAAGATGGGACCCAAATCTAAATACAAAATTCATTTTTCATATATTTTCTACACGTGGCCTAAAGGTAATTTTGGGGTTTTTTAGTAATAATTTTTTTTAATTGAGTTTATTGGTACATTTAAGGTATACAGTACAATTACATTCATTATTGGGATCTTGTACCTTTACATGACAGGTCTTGGTTCTCATTTTTTTCCCTTTGTCTGTGCCCTCCCTTCACCTTCTCCTCCCCTCCCCATTTACAAACACTATTTCCATTTTTTCATTTTGTCATATTTTTTTCTTTTCTCTTATTATTTTTCCCCTACCCTTTCCATTTTCCCTACACCTAAAGGTAATTTTGTACACCTGTGTTGTGTCTGCATTTTTTACTATGACCTGTCATATGAGGTCAAATATGGAATTTTTCCCTGAGGTATCACCTGGCACTTAAAGAGTTAATGTTTCTAAGCATTTTTGATTTCAGATATTTGGATTAAGAAAGCTTAAAATATCAATTTTTGTTTCATGCAACCAATTTCCCAGAGATACATTTCAATCAATTTTGTTTGGTATCAGGGGTCTAACTTGGGACCTTGCACTTGTGAGGCAGGTGGCAGAACCACTGAGCTAAATTCATAGCTACATTTTCAATCAAATTTATCTATAACTTAATTAACACAAACTGTACTATAATTTCTTTCTGGAATAATTCTGACTTGTATGTTTCCTCCTCAATTATTATACCCACATAACAATACCAGCCAAGAACATCCACCAAAAGAATCAAACTTTGGACAAGGGTTTCTGAATTTGTAATCTTAAAAAAAAGAACCACAAATAAATTATCCTACCTTTGCTTTCTGGAATAATTCTGATTTATATGCTTCCTCTTCAGTTATTATACCCACATAACAATAGCAGCCAAGGACACCCACCAAAAGAATCGAACACTGGACAAGGGTTTCTGAATTTGTAACCTTAAAAAAAAAAACACAAATAAATTGTCCTACCTTTGCTTTCTGGAATAATTCTGATTTATATGCTTCCTTTTCAGTTTATTATAACCAGATAATAACATCAGCCAAGAACAACCACCATAAGATTTGAACACTGGACAAAAGTTTCTGAATTTGTAGTATTAATCCACAAATTTTAAAAATGTATATTTCATTAATAATTCTGAGTATTCTGAAATCATCTTCTGTTAACAAGTTTCATATACAGTACATGTTAAACACAAATTCAGTTGAGCTGAAGACGGAATTTTCTGAAAATCACTTAAAATATCAAAAACATTACTGTAGACTTAGGATTCTCAAAAAAATAACAAATGCCATCTCTAAATAGCTAACTAGGTTATCTCCTGTTAAGGTGGTAGTGTAATACATCCACAGATTCAAGTATCTGAGGGAGGTATAAAAGAAAAACTTGACAGGCAAGTAAATGTAACTCTTTGAACACACATAGAAATTACAACCATATAAACCCTAAAAATGGTATTTTGAGCTTCTAAAGGAAAAGAATCTTGACCTATTCAGCTTTTTTAACTCTAGCAGAAAGCATTCCGAAAAAATAAAATATAAATAAATAAATAAATTAGGATTTCCCAAGCGAAGGCAAGCAAGCAAGCAAGCATTCAGGCAATTTTATAGAATTATATAAGAAACTACAAAGATTACACAGAGAAACAAGATTTTCAAACTAGGCGTGGTGGTGAACCTATGTAATCCCATAGCACTTGGGAGGTTGAGACAGGAGAACTACTGAGAGTTCGAGGCCAGCCTATGCTACATAGTGAGACCCTGAACTACAGAGACATCCTTTCTAAAAAAATCATAATAAGAGAAGATTTTCAGATTTTTTTTTTGTTCCAATATTGTAGGAGATGACATTCTAGGGGAAAATACAGAAAACTAAGTTTTTTTGTAATGAGAGTAGACACAATTATAATACAGAAAAATATCAGTAGTTAATAGTAAGACAGGGTGAACATGCAGAATGTTTCTTGTTTCTTTAGCTTATTTTTTCTGGCTATTGATTTTATTCTCACCATGTAACAAAACATTGCAAAAGATACAAAAATTAATAAAAATAATATCCTGTTTAAAGAGATTATGATATAGTTTAAGAGATACTTGTATACAAAACATACATAAATATATATGGTATAAAGGGATACTACATGCCATTACGAAACTGAAATATTAAGAAAATGAAAATGAAAAGAAGAAAAATACAGTGAGATTACAGAAGAAAGGTTTTACCAAGTATTTTAACATGTGGACAATGTGAATACATAGAAGTAGCTAGAAAGACACTACATGTTGAAAGAAATACAAGTTTTTACAAGATAATAGCACACATGAATTTGTGATTTTTATGATACCAAAGAACATATGAGAAATTCCAAGATGGCCTCTAATAATTAGGTAATTCCTAGTCAGTTTATTATACTTGTTATTCACTTTCCTCTTCAAATTCCACCTAACTCTGCTAGATTTTTTAAAAATTGCACCTTTTGCTTTTACTGTATGTAACACCTCCTAATTTGTACTGAGAGTTTATCACATAATTCCTATCTTCAAACCTGTATTATTCACCACTAACTCAAACAATTTTTTATAAAGTCTACCAGAATTTCTGTTACCAGAACACACACTCAAAATTATTCTTCAGTTTTCCTTTTTTCATGTTAACATTTTCTTATTTATTGACAAAGATTACCATTTGGTTTTCAAAACCAAGATTATTACCATTCTTAGCACCTTTCCTGTCCCGTTAACTCCTTCCCTTCTGTTAGTTTTATCAAAGTGAAATCAAATATAGGCACCAATTCTTTAAAATCTTACCTCAGATGAATTGTTTAGAAGTTGTTCTGATAATCCCAAAAGATAGCGATTCAACGATTCCTTGAGATTTTGGTGGACAGAAAAGCCAATATTGGACTGACACTTTTCTATAGCACATTGTTTCACAATGCTTAAAAAATCCATCTTGTCAAAAGTCGTCTGAAGAAATAGTTCTTCAACTTCTGAGAATGAAAGCTCTTCTTTATCTTTTTGGTGATGTTCACTTTAAGGGAGTTGAGATCTTTGTAATCAAAATATCTTATCTCCATATATAAACAATTACATATGAAAACATTAACAGTAGCAAATTTACTAACAGGTATACAAAAGAAATGCCAGTTACAATTTCAAAGACAAATTCAGAAAGTAATAAAACAATAACACCAAACATAAATGTTAATAACATTTTAAGAAATATTCTTGTCACCTGTGTTTTCTTCATAATGCAGAATTTCTTTTCATCTTATAGCCCTTTTAAGATGAGGAATATTCGTGCCAGTGAGTCACTTTCAGTGACTAAACATGTCTCTAAGTCAATCATCTAAAACTGCATTTTAGATTGATTTTTGTTTTCAATTATTAGTTTTAAAGCTAAAAGTCAAATTTTACTTAAAATATTAAATGGTTACACCTAAGAATTCATTTTGCATAAAATATGTTCCTAATTTCTCATCAAAATTATTTGATGTTTTCTACTGACACTTATGTTATACTACACACACTATTAAAACATAGTAACCTTGACCTAAAATTATAGACTAGATTTTAATAGCTGAATTACAAGAACTTTTCCCTAACAGCTGAGTTTTTGTTTTACTCAATGTTATAATTATTAAGATGCATAATTATTAATATACTACTCTGCTAAAATTATACCCATAATTATAGCTGTATCTTAAAATATCACAGAACTCTATTAGATAACATACCATTCTGACACACTCTGGAAAAAATTCATTGCAGCTTTACAGTTTTTCATAGTGAGACTCACAAGAATTTTCTCTAGTATGAGATGAGGAAAATTACTAAAAAGAAAAACAAAAAAACAGAAAAGAAAAGCTTCACTTAGAAGACAATAAATCATTTTAATAACCCTGGCCATAAATCTTAACCTCTAGAATTTGGACCCTACATTAAGCCGGCTTGCATTTGTACTGAATCTCTCTATATCTCATAAGGACAATATAAAGAGGATATACACATCATATTACTACTCTTAGAAGAATAATGTCTAATTTTTAAAGGTCATTTGTGAAATTAACAAAATGTTATGAAATTAAAACAAAAGCACTAGGATTCAGAGGTCTACACTCCAGTCATTTTCTGTCTATTATCATCTATGGAAAGGTTAAGTGAGTGAGCTGCTCTGTTCCTAATCCTAGTGCCTAGGTACTATTTTGTCTTTCTTTGGTTTTTCTAATCTTATTAATTAAACAAATTTCATCCAGAATATACTCATTACAATTATGGATTAAAGATCTGCCTGAGTCTTGAAACAGATAATGGAACTATTTACAGATGATCACAAAGGAACAAAATGCTCAAAGAGTTATGTCCACTGAGAAGATTAACTGGAATTAATTTATAGTTAGATAGGAAAAAGAAGTTCTGATGTACTGCATAGTAAGAGGAGTAAAGAGAAAGTTAAGGTATTGTATTTGTATTTTTAAAAGAGAATACAGGATTTTGGACGTGTTTAAGACCAAGTAATAATTGTTTAAAGATGATAAAGAAAAGATGGAAATAAAGTGCTTATAGATGGGGAGGGGAGGAGGGGGTGAAGGGAGGGCAGGAAAAAATGAGAACGAAGACCTGTCATGTAGAAGTACAAGATCCCAAAAATGAATGTAACTGTACTGTGTACCTAAAATGTACCAATAAACTCAATTAAAGCTGAAAAAAAAATAATTGTTTTGAGACAGATATGTTAACCCTGACTTGAACACTATGCAAAGTATGTATGTATCAAAATACTACATAATACCACATAAACAGGTATAATTTATATGTATCAGTTAGTTTTACAAATTACATGTTTTATGTATACTTTATCCACATCCCCCATATTCTCAGAATGAGGCTACCTTTTTATGTCAGAAATGACCCACCCACTAAGACAGAGCACTGGAAAAACAAAAGACAATGTTTAGAGTTAACTCTGAACAATCCTGTATTATCATTGGACAATAAAGTCAGCTGGAATCATAAAAGTGGAGAATGCTTTATAAAACAATGGAAACTATGGTAATTAAAATACCTCTGAAGAATTGGAGGGAGCTCTTTACTGTCTTCTAAGTCATCCTCTGACTGATGGAATAAGAGCCATCTCATTATCGACTCCTTTAAAGAAAAACTTCTATTTACTTCACATACATTTTGCTCTGTTCTTGTTTTTAATACTTCTGGAATTACACAGATGGTCAGTGCCAAAGTCAAACAGCATACTACAGAACTATAAAAGAAATAAAAGACAACTTAAAAGGAAGCTCTCAGAACTGGGAGGTAGCTCAAGCTAAAGGCCCTGGGTTAGGTCCCTAGGACCGCCAAATTAAAAAAAAAAAGCTCTCAGAGGACAGTGATTTTGACTAGTTTATTTAACATTGCCTACAATTCTCAGGACCATGGCAGCCATATACATTTAGTGAACAGAAGTTGCAAAAAAAAAAAAAAAAAACCTGGTTATATTTGAGCAGACTCTTAATTGAAAACTTGCAGTAACAGTAGACAGTACTAAAAAATTTTTTTAAAAGGCTTATGAGTAACAAATGATTATAATTTAGAGATAAAGAAAATTTAAGCTCTATAAACTCTTTTTAAAAATCTTTAAAACTGGCCTAATATGTCCACATTTGAAATTAATTCATATTTTAAAATATATCAATTCTTCCAGGCCAAACAACAAATGCACCAGAAATAGAACTGAAGTTAACATTCTTAACTAAAATAACAAACTATGAAAATAATCAAGAGATTATATATGTGTGTGTGTGGTGTGGTGTGTCCATACTTACCTTGAAGGTTTGCAGGCTGACCCAGTAAATAACTTCCAGAATTCTCTGTCAACTTCAACTAAACTACCTTGAATAATGGCTCCAAGCAAGCCAAAGTTTTCAGTTTGGATTTGTACAGAATTGATACCACGAAATGTAACAGACCAAACTTTAATCCAGAGTTTTGATAAATCTGACTTTTGAGAGCTTTCCAGGTTTGTTTTCTTGCCTTGACACAATGCAATTTCTGTAAGACAACGTAACACATATGGCGTGCGTTCTCCACATCGCTGCTGAGGTAGAAGCTGGTATAGTATCATCAGTAACGGACACAGCTCATAGTTAGGTAAACTTGCAGGATACTTAGATATTAACTGGGTTATAATTTGCAGCCTAAAAGAAAAAGGGAGGATGAGTAATTAAAAAATTTTCAATTCCCTTAGCAAGCTAAAAGAAAATACATAAATAAACATAATGACCTACATTTTAATTAAAATGTTTTAATTTATTAAAGCATAACCACCATGATTTTCTATGTAGTTCTCAAAATAAAATGGTTAATATTTATTAGGTCCTATTTCCTAAAATGGCAAGATTGATAACATTTTGGTTATCTGAGTAAGCAATTTCATTTCTTTTAAACAAATAACTAAATTAGAGATATTCTACTTCTGACTTACCTTGCTTATTCCCATTTGGTGTTTTGTTGTTGGTTTGCTCTTTTTTCAGTACTGGGATTGACTCCAAGCCATTGCACATTCTAGATAAGCATTCCACCCGTGAGCTACCCTCAAATTTCAACTTTTTTTTTTTGGTACCAGAGATCAAACTCAGGACCTTGCACTTGCCAGGTAGGTGCTATGCGCTAAGCTAAATCCCCAGCCGGAATTGCAACTATTTTAAAGCAAGGTCTCACTGCCCAAGCTAACCTCAAGCTTGAAATCCTCTTGCTTTTGCCTCTCAAGAACTGGACATCATGATTTAAATCTAAAATGTTCCCCCAAATGTCTCACATGTTTGAAGGTGGGGCTTTTAGGTGACTGAATCTTTGGGGCACTATACTCATCAGTAGATAAGTTCATTGATGAGTTTATACATGAATGTGCTTATAAGATATAAGGCCTGGTTGAAAGTAGATAACTGGAGGTGAGCTCTAGAGAGATGTGTTCTTGTTCCCAGCTCCACCCTTCCTTTGTTATTTCTTCAAGGTCACCAAGAGTTGAGCAGCTTGCTTCTGCCATACCCTTCCACCATACCATTTCTACACCGAAGCCAGCTAACTATGGACTGAACCAACAAAAACCATGAGCCAAAATTAACCTTTCCTCCTTCAAGTTTTGAGTACTGGGTATTTTGTCCTTGAAACAGGAAAGTAATATACTTTGAAACTACAGGCTTGTACCACCATATCCAATCCATTCCTGCTCTTCAGAAGTCACCAAAAATGTTCCTCTACAAGAGGACAATTAAAAAAAATTTTTTTTTAACAGAAACAATCTGTGAAAGTGAAAATAAGTAAGTCTTAAAAAGATAGGCACAGGTAAAGACTTTCTGAACAGAACCCTAATTACACAAGAAACGTCAAAAATCAACAAATGGGATTATATCAAATTTTAAGTTTCTTCATAGCAGAAGAAAAAAAAAGAGTGAAAAGACAACCTATAGATAGGAAAAATTTTTTGCCAACTATTACTCAGGCAGAGTACTGATATCTAAAATATATACAGAATTTAAAAATAAAAAAAGCTAGACCCCAACCAAAATGAAAGACCCAATCAAAAAATGGGCAATTGAGAGCCAAGGGATTTAGCTCAGTGGTTCCACTGCCTGCCTCGCAAGTATAAGATCCTGAGTTCGATCCCTGGTGCCAACAAACAAACAAACAAACAACAACAAAAAAAAAATGGGCAATTGAACTGAATATATACTTCACTGAAGTATGATACAAATGGCCAATCAATATATGAAAAAATATTCAATATCTCTGGTCATTATAGAAATGAAAATTAAAAAACACTGAGATTCCACCTTATACCAGAAAGAATAGCCATCACGAAGTAATCAAATAGTAGGCAGGAATGGTGCTGCAAGCCTGTAATTCCAGCACTTGGGAAGCTGATGCGGGAAGATTACTGTAAATTCAAGGCCAGCCTGAGCTACACAGTGAGTTTAAGAACAGAATGAAATACAGAGTCCCTGCCTTACAAAAAAAGAAAAAGTAAAATACTGCATTAGCAAGTGCAGGAGAGGCTACAGGGGAAAAGGTACCCTTCTACATTGTTGGTGGGAATGTAAACTCATATGACCATTATGGAAGTCAGTATGGAGATTCCTCACAGAACTAAAAATAGAAATTCCATTCAACCCAGCTATTCCCCTTCTAGGTATCTTCTTAGAAGAGTTCAAGACATTATATTACACTGGTACATGTACATCCATGTTTATGCCAGCACAATTCCATAATAGCTAAATCTTAGAAGTGGTTTATATATCCATCACTGATGAATAGATAAAATATATTTGGCATTTATACACTCTGCCATAAAAAAGTATAAACTTGAATCATTTGTAGTAAAATGATGAATCTTGACACTATAATGTTAAATGAAATAAATTAGACATAGAAGATTAAATATCATATGGATTCTCTTCTATGAGAAATACAAAATAAAAGGCAGATAATAGGAAGTAGGGAGAGAGATCTTTTGCAGATGGGAAGGGGACCAAGAAATGGAGGGAGCAGAAAGAAGGAATGAAGATGAAAAACTAATTAAGATGTGTTAGGTACATGTACCAATTCCCCATGAGGAATGTAATCATCATGTACTGCAAACATGTACTAATAAAAAATAAAAATTGAAAAAAATGTTTTTCCTTGACATTAATTCAGTCAACTGAATAAGTATTTGCTGTGATATCCCTAGCACATGTCCTACTTAAGAACAGGAACCCTGTGGGCCAGGGATTTACCTCAGTGGTTCCACCACCTGCCTCACAAGAACAAGGTCCCAAGATTGATCTCAGGTACCAAAAAAAAAACCAGGAACCTTGTTATGCATTTCTGTATCCTTAATGCACAGCACACAGATTTTCAATGAATGACTTTTGACTGAATAGATAAAACTGAAGAACTTGAAATAGGTACCCTAAACTATGTAAAATAAACATGAGCTTAAGCAATACATATCAAAATAATGTACAATACTTAAACATTTCATCAACATATTAAAAATGAAGAGTACTGATCACAAGTGTGACTATAAATTTCTAAATGTCCTTAGGCTTATTGCTTAATGTTACTGGGTTTTTCTTTTTCAGTAAAGCAAATAGGCTGAGTTGGATAAATTCAAAGATCCTTATACCCAAGACTTTTTGATTCTACAAATTACATAATCTGTTTAATTATTTAACCATCTAGGAATACTATATGAAAATAAAGTCAAGAAATAAGAAAAATAACCTATTATCATGGCATAAGATTAAAATTATTCTGTGATTTTTGAAGGCTATTTTTAACATTTCCCAACCTAAGTCTATAGAAAGGTTCTAAGCTGGTTAAAATTTTTTCCTTTTGAAATGAATTTTTAACATAGAAACTACTGATTGTCCATTATACAATCAGTCTCTCTTCCTGAATGCTATGCCTATATATTTAAGAAACGGTCTCAGAAGATGAGCTATATTAATGATTTACCTCACAACTACATTTCCCTTTGCTAGTAAATGGTTTGGGAATAGATAAATGACTTAGAGCTAAGAAGATGAATTATATGGACAATAAGATGAAATGATTCTATTGGAAGTTTGCTGAGGAAAAATAAAATCAGACTAAAATGACAGTAAGTGAGAAAAAGATAACATTTTACCAAGGCACAAGATCAAAATCATTCTGTAACTTCTGAAGATAATCTTTTATTACTTCCCAGCCTACTTCTATTTTTCTTCTTTTGCAAGGTACACTATAATCATTAGATTCTCTTTGTGTAGTAGTGTAAAACTGAGAAATCTCCAAGGACCTGGTATCTTCATCAAAAATCTGTAAAACAGAAATAAATCTGTGTTAGTAACTGGTGTTTTCTAATAGTTAAGCAATTCTCAAATAAAGATGAAGAAAACTCACTAAGCAAGAGGAGTAAGCTGCAGAAATATAAAAATATAATAACATTATAGGAAACAAATATTTTGCCTAACAGTGATATTCTTGGAAAGCAAGTATTATCAAGAAATGTTTTATTTCCTGAGGACATCAACTGAAAGTAGCAAAAAAATCTAAAAGTATAGCACAAATCTATATTCTGAGAGGTATTAAATTTTAAATTTATCATTAATAACATACTGAACAAAATGAAATTACCATCCATGATGTTAAATAGTATTCAGTCATAAAAAAGAATTACAAACTGATTCATGGTACATTATGCCAAAAGAAGGAAGCCAGACACAAAAGAGCACATGTCATATGATAACATGTCTGTGAAATCCAAAATAGGCAAATCTACAGAGATTGGAAGTATATGAGTAGGTAGATGTCAGAGGCTAAGTGAAATAGAGAACTGAGACTGCTCATAGGTATGAGGTTTCATTTGGAGATAAGTGTTCTAGAATTAGATAGTGGCAATGCTTTTAAAACAGTAAAAATATGGGCCAGGGATTTAGCTCAGTGGTTCTGGTGCCTGCCTCGCAAGCACAAGGACCTGAGTTTGAAAACCCCAGTACAATAAAAAAAAAAGTAAAAATACTAAAACTCAATTAGTTAGCCGGGCACGGTAATGCACAACTGTAATTCCAGCACTCAGAAAGCTGAGACAGAAGGACTGTTGTAAGTTCAAGACCAGGCTGAGCTACATAATGAACTCAAGACCAGCCTGAACTACATAGCAAGACCCTGTCCAAAAAAAAAAATCAATTAGTTGTACTTTAGTATGCGAATTTCACTATTAGTGTTCATTAGTCCATATGTGCAAAAGTTACATTAAAAAAAAGTTTTAAAAGAATAATTCCAAAGATGTGTATTTTGATAGGAACAGTTAAATCTATAGAGTAATTTTTAAGTTTTCAATGATAACCAAGGTTTTTAAAGCCCAGCAAAGAAAAATTAATAGGAAATCTCAAAATGTGACACCAACTATACCTGGTGACAAATATCTGCCATCAATTCAATCAAATTTTCTTTCACAGCAATGTTACGAAATCCTGCAGAGTATTTCCCTCGACTTCCTATATGACTTATCTCATTCACTAGCAGATCATATAGGCTGTACAAGATACTTTGCCATTTTGTTGACTTATAAGCACCTATAATCCAAGAAAAATTAAAAGGTTATTTACATAAGTACTCCATTTGTACTGCCAACCCCCACAGTTACTCAACTATGAGGATACAGCAACATTAGAAATTTGTTGTAACCTATTCAGTACTAATGCCTCTTCTGTCACTATCTTTGACATATCTAATTCATAACAATGTCCACTATGCACTTCAGTTAACCTCTATTTGCTATAAATGTCTTCTGATCTGAAATTCATCTTTTTCTAATTTATTCTGTCCCCTAAAGCAAATTTGTTTCCTTTTTTACATAAAGAACAACTTCTTTGTATGTATTTTTATTACTGGTCTAGGAGAAAAATATCACCCAATCCTTCAACTAGTGCATACATGACATGTTATCTCATCACTCCAAGTTTTTACGTTAACACACTCAGGTCAATTATGCTGACTTTACAGTCTGGAGACAGACTACTACAGTGGTGGTCTGATCATTATAGGGGAACAACAGGGCTATTAATTTGGACAAACAGGGTAGCATAAAATATATTAATATAAGCTGAATCTGTATTAGCTTTTCCGGCAGCCTCATCATCCTTCCAATTTTTAATTCAATATATTTTTTGTGATACTGTAATGGTATTTTTTTTTCTTTTTATTGAGTTTATTGGTACAATCTAGGTATACAATACAGTTACATTCACTACTGGAATCCTGTACCTTTACATGATAGGTCTTGATTCTCATTTTTTCCCCTTGTCCCTGCCCTCCCTTCACCCCCTCCTCCCCTCCCCATTTACAAACACTTTATTTCCATTTTTTCAGTTTCTCATATTTTTTCCTCTCCCTTATTACCTATCCCCCACCCTTCCCACTTTCCCTACACCTTTAGCCCTTTACTTCCTATTTCACATTATTAATTATCTCATTAGGATCCTATGTACTATTATAGTTTTTCACACCAGAGAAACTATTTGGTATTTCAGTTAAAGAGATCTCTGTATGAACATTAAAAATAGGGAATCCTAAAATAAAACTAAAAAGGAAAGTAAAAGACAAAAGGCAATGATATAAGATTAAAATAATCCTTAATTCTGAAGATGAAAATGGTCCCTGAACATATTTAAATTGCTTCTTGCTCTTGTAGTCTTATCTCATTCTTTTTTTCATTTAGAGAATACTTTATTAGTTTCTGTAATCAAACCCATGTAGATATGACCTTACATATTTAATACAGTGTACAAATGAAAAAATAAATAAATTTAAATTTAAATTTAAAAAATTAACATTTCTAGACCAATATGGCTATCAATTTCTGTACAATGCCAACTCAACACAGTAAATTGGGATAACTTTCTCCAAAGTTGACAGCACAGTTAAAGTTTCCAAAAATTCAAATTATATACAGTATGTATATATATAGTCATATTTGTATAAAAAGACCAATAATAGCAGTATGTTATGCATCAATAGCAGCAACAGCTTTTCCAGGTTCTGCATTAAAAAGTTCAAACTTAAGAGAAAAATTTAAAGTTGTACAGCAAACTGATCCCTACTACCTCGATTCTATAATGAACATTTTTCTATATTCAATTCACTATAAATATGCAGTTAACTAAAACCCTAGCCAGGGATTTAGCTCAGGTTCGGTGGCCTGCCTTGCAAGTGCAAGGACGCAAGTTTGATCCCCGGTACCAAAAAAAAGAAAAGAGAAAAAAAAAACAAAACCCTAAACATATGCCATCTGCTAAAACGCCTGATCTGCACTCGTGAGAGGTACATGAAACATGAAACACTATTAAACACTATTATTTTTTCTGAGTTACACTATTTGCACAGGCTACACAGATACCTAAATATATAAACTGCAACAGTCCATGAAATACACACAGCCACTTTTAATTAAAAATGGCTACAACAGTTTTCCTCCACTGTAGCACTTACTACTCAATGTGGCATGCTGTCTTAATAAGGTCATTACATTAGCCATAATAATTTGGTCCAAAAGATTGTACTAGTCCAAAGGCAATCATAGAGCATTAAAGAGTTCATTTAGCTTCAGTTCCACCCCATGAAGCTCTGCTCTACTGAAGAGAATCCCACCATCTGATCATTACATTCTAGGTAAAAAAAAAAAAATGCAAAGGAATTGGGCAGGACAATAGATTCATTTCTGGTTTTTCAAAGGGCCTGGAGTAGCACAGCAATTGTGAAAGGCAAGGCAGCAGTTGTCCCCTTTATACCTTACATTCCTAAGAAAATAATATGCACATAATCTCCTCAGTAACTGAATGATCTGACTGGCTGCCTTCAGTCCATCTGTTTTCATTTTGTTACTGGGGATTGAACTCAGGACCCTGTGCTTGTGAGGCAGGCACAGTGCCACTGAGCTAAATCCCTGGTCATATTTTATTTTCTAATAAAAAGCAATATGCAGATAAACAAGATCTTGTTTTCTCTAAATCATTTTGCCCTATAGTGTCACCTTTTACTAAAGTAATTATTAATGTATAATCAGCTACTAGTAGTCACAAGCAATGTCTCATGTTTTTATTTCTCATGATACCTAACACTGTCTCAAACAAATGGAAAAGCATGATGTAATTTGCTACTACTCACTTAAATTATATAAATTCATGAAGAATATTATGAGTAACAACATATCAAGCAGAGCAATTCAGAGGAGGATCATATATTCCTACAGAACACCGGTGTCATACTTAAGCCTGTATGTTTTAATGAAGCAAATTCAAAATAATAAAAACTTTATACCTTTTTCATGGGTTTTGGCTCCCTTTGGATGATGGATAGAGATTTGCAGCTGAAATAACTCAATAATTACTCCTTTTAAGGAATCATTAAGTATATGTTGAGTCCAAATATACAATAAGGTAGGAAGAATTTCATCTCCTAATTCACACACTCGCATTCGAAAATTGACAGCCAAAGTCTTGAGAAAGATAATAAGAGCTGCCAAGATATAATTTAGGCCAGCAGATTTTTTTTCTTGTCTGCAACAAAAAACAAGTTCAACTTGGTGTATTGGGAGTACATGCTGCAGGAAAAAAAAAAATTTACATTTCGAGCTGGGGATTTAGCTCAGTGGTTCTGCTGCCTGCTGTTCAAGTGTAAGGTCCCGAGTTCGATCCCAAATACCAAAAAAAAAAAAAAAAAAAAAAAAATCTACATTTCAATCAGAAACCTATCAAGAAAAAAAAAATCACAGCAGTACTACATAACAATAAATATTTAGTTCTTATTTGGCCCTAAGAGACTACTGTTAGCTCTCCCTACTTTTGAAACACTGCCTATAAATACAGAAAACAATTTGTAACACCAAAAAACCATTTATAAAATATTTCCCACTTTATTTATTTACTTATGTATTTATTTTTGTTTTTTTTTTGAGACAGGTCTCACTATGTAGTTGAGACTGACCTAGAACTTATTATGAATCCCAGGCCAGTCTCACAAAGATCCTCCTACCTCAGCCTCCCAAGTGCTGGGATTATAGGCATGTGCCACCAAGCCCAGCTCACACTTTAAACTAGGTAATACTATGCAAATGATCTTAATACTTTCAAAATATATTCTTATTTTACTCTAAGTATATTAATTACATCTATCTTCAAAATGGAGAAAATTAAATTAGAGGATCTTTAACTAACTTTCTTTTTTTTTTTTTGGTACCGGGGATTGAACTCAGGTCCTTGTGCTTCCAAGGCAGGCACTGGAACCACTGAACTAAATCCTTGACCATTTTAATTTTCTTATTTATTAGAATAGCAGGACACACTTAACCTCAGAATATAACAGTGTTCTGTATACTGGCTTGAATCCAAGGTGTGCAGGACTACTATAATAATCCTTTTTTTTTTTTTTTTGGTACTAGGATTCAAACTCAGGACTTTGTGCTCGTGAGGGAGGCATGGGCGCCAATGAACTAAATCCCCAGCCCCTATAATTATCTTTTTAAAAGGCAGTATTTTGCATTCCCACTTTTCTCCAAATCCTTGTATTTGTTGGTTTATTTTATTTTGTTTGCAGTTCTAAGGATGAAATGCACAGGCTACGCAAGCACTATTACTAAACTCATCCCTATTCCTATTTTATGTATTGTTAAAAATTCTAATTGAAGTGAAGTGATATCATATTATGGCACTGACCTTCATTTCCCCAATGAAAGAGGCTAAGCATTCTTTCACAAATTTGCTGGCCATCTAAAATTTATCTTTGAAGAAATGTCTAATTCATATCTTTTGTTTGATTTTAAAACTAGAGTATGGTTTCTTTGTTTCTGAGTTTTTAAAATTCTTTTATACTAGATATTAGTCTATTGACAAGTGAATAGTTGGCAAAATTTTTCCTAATTTTGAAGGTTGTCTCTTCATTCTGTTGTTTCCTTCGCAATGTTTCTTAGTTTAGGTAGTTCACTTTGTCTGTTTTTGCTTCTGTTGCCTGTGCATTTTAGGATCTTACCCCAAAAAATCTAAAAATTATCCAAAGAATCACTGCTTATACCAATGTCTTAAAAGTATTTTCCCTGTTTTCTTCTCTTAATTCACACTTTCAGGTCTAACATTTAGGTCTTCATTTTCAGCTTACTTTTGTACAGAATGAGATAAGGGTCATATTTTTTATATGTACTGAAAAATCACACTGTACCCCTGGAATATGCACAATTATCATGTTAATCAATTTTTTTTGAATGTTGAAGGATTTGATTTAATCATTACACACTATACATGTATTGGATGGTCACACTGCCTCCTTAACCTGTAGAAATAAAATAATAATTTTTAAAACAGTAGTATTTTTAGTTACTGAATCTAAAACATGGTTTCAGCAAGAAGAGCAAATGGACTTTCAATATAGAACAAAACAAGATTAGATTACCTTGCATACTGAATAGCCTCAGAAAAAAAATCTAAAGATTTAGAATTTATTCCATCAGTTTGTGAACAGCATCCTTTGGTCACAATATGAATTATTCTAGCCACTAAAACTCTATTAATGTCTTGTGAAGGCTTGAGATACAACCTGAAGTATACAGCGAACAATTCTAGAAAAAAAGAGAAACAATAAAAATAAAACCTTATTAGTTATTTTTAATTACTCTAATTTATTTTTATTTGATGGAGCAAAAGGATTCTATCAATATTCAATTTTGTATCTCTAAAATAGTACCAACTACGACAGTAGAGTATGGGAACATCAGTTTGAGAGCTTTATCTCAGATAATCAACTTAACTTAAGCCTATGTTCCTTTATCTAGGCCTAACAAAGCATAAAATAAAATGAATATTCCAGTTTTTGGTTGTATATTATGCTGTTTGATTAATAGTTGTAAAATATGTCATTAACCATGAAGGTTCTTGGATTTTACTCTGCTTAAAAACTAACAAATAGCATGACAGCTTCATGGATGTTGGAAGAAGACATGACATTCCTAATCAAAGAAAAAGGAGACATTATTCCTCATATGAACTACAGAAAGTACAATACCTTCTACTGCATCACCTTCCCAGTCCCAAAAGCAACCTAAGGAGGGATACCTTCAGCTACTTGAGGTACCTAGGAAAATGACCTTAATTCCTCCATGGGCCCTCTTCCAATGATCTATCACTAGATTCTACCTCTAAAAGGTAACAGTATCTTCATACTGCCAAACTGAGGATCAAACCTCCAATACATAAACTCTTAGGGAACACACACTATATCCAGACCATAGTAAATGGACGTAGAGAAAAAAAGTTATGGAGAGGAGATGACTACATCACAATGTGAATGTGCTTAATACTACTGAACTGTACACTTAAAAAGATAAATTTTGTTTTCTTTCTACAATTAAAAAAAATACTGGAGATCCTCTTCTCAGTAAATAAAATCCACCTAAGGAAAAAATAATATATATAGATGACATACCTTATTAAACAGAAAAATCCCACAGATTCTACAAATAGTCCTAGATATAACAGATGATTTTAACAAAACACTAGAATACAAAGTATATAAAAACCAATTATAAAAAAACAATTATATTCCTATATAATAGAATTGAAAAATTGGGAAACTGAAATTTTTAAAATAGTGCAATTTATAAGACACTGTAGTATAAATCTAACAAAACAGTACAAAATCTGTATGCTGACAATTACACATCAATAAAGAAATCAAGAGATATACATAAATGGAGAGAGATGTATTTGTGGTTTTGAATGCTCCACATTTGTTGTAGTGCCCACTTATGCTAAATTTTTCAACAGACTCAATATAATCCCTACCAAATTTCCAACAGGATATTTTATAGAAATCAATAAGCTCATTCCAACTTTTACAAGGAAATGTTGGCTCAATCTTAAACCATCTTATGTTATTTTGAACACTTACCCTAAATAATGTATTCATAACAATGGCTTTAATCACCAACCTTACCAAACATATTATGAGCAACAACTTGAACAACTTGTTAGAGAAGCAAGTTTTAGAGAAGGGAACTAGAAAAATGATTTGACAAAAAGTCTAACTACAATTAATAATTTGTTTAAAAAGTAGAACAGGATTTCAGAGAACATACTTGATGTCAGGATCAGACCAAAGAGACTGAGAGAATGAGTGCCTTGTTTCTGTTTTTTCCTGTGATAGCTCATTAAATATGACTAGCCCACTCTAGTGAGACATCTGACTAATTATCCTGGATATCACTGGCTTATTCTCCAAAAGCTGTCACAAGGCACCTTGTGGCCCAGTTGGGACACAAGCTGCCTCGAGTTCCAGAGCAACGACAACAGTCCCAAATGACTCCTAAGAAATTACTTCAACAGTTCAGAGGGCTTGCCATGGAAGTAGTAGAGTGTAATGGAGAGATAAGGGCACTGATTAATTCATTGTTTTGTGACTCATATATCTCATTTTGAAATAATAAAGTAGCAATGAAAAATACAGATAAATGTCTTTTAATTTAGTTAGCAAAATTGAGCCTAAATATTTCTTAATGAAAAAGACTGAGTTTCTAAATTTTCAGAGCTAGTACATTAGATTTTGACACCTGGCTTTTAAAATTATGTTAATAGCAAATTCCACTCTTTCCATTACACTCTCAGAATTGCTCCAGTTTTAAAATCAATAAACTTAAGTTTTTGTCTCTGATCATAACCTCCTTCCTTTGTGGTCTCTAAGTACTGAAAATACTACTAGATTCTTCCTTAGTAACCTCTCTATAAGGATAAGTCACAGGATCTACATACTCTATTCTAAAACAGTAATCTGCTTCCTGCTTAATCTAACAGATTGTTTTTACCTTCCTACAACAGTTACGGTGTCCATCACATCCCTTTCAAAATGAAATTCCTTCTTTTTGAGATAGGGTTTTTAATACAGTTCAGGAGAGCCTTGCAGTAGCCTAGACTGCCCTCACCTCCCAAATGTTGGGATTACAGGCATGCTTTCACTTTAATGACATCTGTATTTTGGCTTTTTTCCTCTTGCACTTAATCATGGTTCAATTTAAACAACATTCTGTGTACCCATTGCACCCAAACATAGCTATATCATATGGCAGTAGGGGCAAACCTATGGCATGTGTGCCACAGCAGGTACATAGGACCTGCTCTGTTGGCAGACAGGCCAAGTTGCCCCAGCATCGCCTCAGCACCTGAAAAGTGGATAACAGTGAACAGGAGCAGCACTGAGACTTTGTGATAAATAAGTGGGTCTGGAGTTGCAGTTTGGGCACTTGTTCTCTAAAAGGTTTGCTATCACTATTGTAGGGCATTATAACTTTTTATTGACTTGAGTTATTTTATGGCACTGAACTACCAACTCCTTGAGGATAGTGATAAAATCTCTCAAATTTGTAATTTGGGTTCCAATGGTAGGCACATATTATTAATGATTTAATAATCCTGAAGGTACATAATAAAAATTTAGCTAGACATGGTGGTACATGCCTGTAATCCCAGGACTTGGAAGGCTGAGGCAAGAGGATTAACTTGAGTTTGAGGCCAGCCTGGACTACACAGCCAGACCTGTCTCAAAAAATAACTAAATAAAAAATCAAATTGTGTATATAATTTCACTACAGTAATGTTAAACTGTGAGGTTATCTGGGTGATATAAACAGACTCTGACTGCTTTAACACATTCACAATGGGCTGTAATTTGTACGTCCTGCTGCCAGGTGGCGTGAACCACCAATGGTACATGCATGACTGTCTCACTGGGTAGCTTTTTATTATACTATTAGTAGAAATCCCAACGAAAGTGATTAGATCCATTTGTAGCACCAGAGGTACAAGCTGCCCGATGGGACAGTCATACATATACCACTAGTGGCTCAAGGTATCAGGAACATGTTAATTGGTAAAATTTCATTCCAACAATCTTCAAGACATACCTAAGGCTAGGAATGTAGCTCAGTGACACAGTGCTTCCCTATCATGCAGAGCCTGGGTTCAATCCCCAGTCATGGGGAGTGGGGGAGACATACCTAGCCACTGCTGCTGAGATATTTCACACCAGTATTTCCTCACAGAAAGAATGTCTTTGAGTAGTATGTTGCTGCAATCAGATCCATAAATCACACTGTTAGATGAATCCTTCACTGTGTCCATGACATAATTTAAGAGCTCTTGACATTTTAGCCTGGGTCCTCCTATTAAAAAATCAAGCAAATAAACAAAAACATGTAACTCTTAACAAAAGTAAATTAAGAACACACAGAATGGCAAGAATTTAAATAATTCCATTTGAGTAATTACTCTTAACTCCTCACAGAGCAGGTAATGGCAAACCATGACTTCAGAGCAAAAGTCAGTGAGCTGTTTGTTTGCTCCAATTTTACTGGAAACACAGGCATGTTCATGCATCTACTAATAGCTTTGCTCTGGGAGTGTAGTTCAACTGTAGAACATTTGCCTATCATGAATAAGGCCCTAGGTTAGATCCTCAAAACACACACACACAACATTGCCTTAAAAGGACAAATAATTTGCCTGCAGAGAGTTTTGTGTTTTTTGTTTGTTTTTGTTTTTTTTTTGATGGTACAGGGAATTGAAAGCAAGATCTTTATACTGAGCCACGTTCCTAGCCCATTTTTACGCTTTCTTTTTAGATGGGGTCATGCTACTTCACTACGTTGCCCACGCTGGGCTCCAACTTGCAATCCTCCTGCCTTAATTGCTGACAATGGCCTGCATTTTTCTGAGAAACCAATGGAACTTAACATTTTCTCAGCTGGATTCTCTATTTGCTATTGCTTTGTGCAGAAGGAGACACAGGTTAACATAAAAAATTAATGGATTTACTTACTTCTTCATTTTCCATGCCTTTTCCGTTTTTTGTTCTAATTTCTGTTTCTTTCATTCTACTTTGCATACTAATGCTAAGTAAGTATATCAAAATCTAGACTTGCATTTAAATTCCCATCAATCTTTAAACTTTGTGAAATAAACAGCTGAAGAAGTGAGGTAAGAACATAGCAGTTCTCTAGTTTTGCTTCTAACTTTATAGAGGTTGTAAGTTACAAAGTCCAATTTTAAAGAAAAGTAAGTTCTAAGTAAAAATGGCACTTTGAAACTACTTAAATGTTCCTGTATTGTTAATTTTAGTCTTCCTTATTAACCAACATATTGATACATTTTCACACAAGATCTCCATTATTATTTTGTAATTGAAGGCATATTTTCGATGGAAGGAAAAATTATGAAATCTACAAACTTTTCTGATGGGCTAAAAATTAGCATGGTATCTTTCACTCAATCAACCAGTACACATTAAGATCCCAATGTGGGCCAGGGATTTAGCTCAGTGGTTCCAGCGCCTGCCTTGCAAGTGCAAGGACCCGAGTTCAATCCCTGGTGCCAAAAAATAAAAAGATCCCAATGTTTACTAACCAAGAATACAGAATTTATCTGTATATAAGGCTACCACACAGGGCAAAAGCAGGTACAGAATATTTCAATGTAGCTTTCCTTTGTCTCTGCTGAAGTTTCTGACAAGGACCTGTAGTTATCCACACAAACTGGTGTCTCAAAGGAGTAGAAATTTTTCTAAACTACTGTTCTTTAGACTCAATTCTCCCAATATCATTCAGATGTATCATTCACTAACAATCTATATACTTCTCCTAAATGTTTAGCAACATCTGGGCTTTCCTAATTCTTTTTTTTATTTTTTTTATTTTTTTTTTTTTAGATAGTGTCTCACTATGCAGTTCAGGCTGGCCTTGTGCTCAGTATGTAGCCTTGGATGGCCTCAAACTCATGGCGATCCTTCTGCCTCAGCCTCCTGAGTGCTGGAACTATACGCATGCCCACAACGCCAAGCCTAGGCTTTCCTAATTCTCAAAGTCGGTATCATAAAGCCACATCTTTATCTGCAAAGAGTATACAGAAAAAGCTCATGAGTTCCTCAACAATTGCTTTTTCTTAAGCTTTCAACACTGGGTACAGCCCATTTCCTTACAAAAGCTTAGAATCCTGTATTTTGGCTCAAATATATCAATTCATCAAAATATCAACTATACAAGTTCAAGATATATGCAGCTTCTCGGGAGCAAAAGGGACCTGTTTTTTCTTTTCTTTAAGTGACAGCACAATGTTAGTTAAGAGTATGTTTTATCTGTTAAGGAAGTGAATATGATCTTAGCATTAGTAAAGCTATACAAAACACAGGCAAGTCCTGCTCTACTCTATACCAACCAAAATATAGCTAAAAGATTGAGTGCCACATTTTGAGAGATAAAATTAAATTGAATAATACAAAGAAAAAAGAGAAATAAAAACTTGTTCATTTGAGCCGAAAAAAGTCTGTTTATCTTTGGGAAGAGAACTTAGGGGAAATATTATGACTATCTTCAGACATCTCAAATGATATCACTTTGAAAAAATGATCTTTTGGTGTACAACCCCTGTAGTCAAAAGGAGTAACAAAAGGAGACAGGATTTTAAGAGTGACCGAAAATAAAACAAAGTCTCCAAAGGTATATTTCTATGTGAGTGATAAGGACAGAGGACAGCCAATAAGAAGGATTTGAAATACTAACTTCAACCCTTTCTATTCTGAGATTCTATAATTTTATGGTTTCATAAATTCTCCCAAATATTTGAACCTATACTATTAAAAATTATATATACTAGAATGTCTGTGGGTCGTTAGAGACACAGAAGCTAGGGCACAACTATATCAGGAAGACTTGGGTGATAATCCAGAGATTAAACCAAGGACAGTCCGACAACAAAAATTAAAATGAGAAAACACTTAAACAAGACACAAGGACAGACTTCCAGTTCACCAATGGCAAACAGTAGGGAAAATGAGGATGAAAAGGCCGATAGTGAACCACCAGGACACCCTGAATTCAAAGCACAGGAAGTAACAAAACAGATCAATCAGGCTCTAGAAAAATTCAAAACAAATAATTTCCCAGATAACCATAGAGATAGTGAGCAAAATGGAAGTCGCGACTCGAGACTCTAGAGCAGAAACTGACAAAAAAAATAGATGAGCTCAGGACCATGATAGAAGCCATGAAGGCCCAGCATAAGAAAGAAATGGAAAAAATAAACGCCCAACATAGGAAAGAAATGGAATCCATAAAACAGATTCAAACAGATATCCAGGAGAATAAACACTCTATTGAAAGTGTACGCAACAGAATAAAAGAATGAGAAGATAGGCTCTCAGATATAGAAGATAAGACTGCAGTCAGTGACCATGAAAAGAGAGGTCTCTTAAAAACAGTAAGAGATCATGAGAAATCGATCCAACAACTCCTAGATGATGCAAAGAAGACTGATAGGAACACATGAAGTAGCAGGAGAAAATACCAATGACTTTAAACACCTGTTCGCAGAACTAATGACAGAAAACTTCCCAAACAGAGGGGAAGAATTTGACATTCAGATAACTGAGGCATATAGGACTCTAACTAGCTGTGATCAAAAACAATCTACACCTAGACATATAATAATCAAGATCCCAGAAACCCAACAGAAGAACAAAATACTACAAGCAGTAAGAGAAAAGAAACAAATCACATACAAAGGAAAGCCCATCAGAATCACAGCAGACTTTTCAACACAAACCCTTGGGGCAAGGAGAGTCTGGAATGATATATTTCAAGTACTAAAAGAGAACAACCTCCAACCTAGACTGATGTATCCCGCAAAATTCTCTTTCAAAAGGGATGGGGAAATAAGACACTTCCACGACAAAGAACACCTGAGAAACTATATGAATACCAAACCAGCACTACAAGCAATTCTAAACAAGATCCTAGAAAAAGACAATGAAGGCAACAACACCATGAGGCCCAACAGAGCAAATCAAATAGGCAAGGCAAGAAATTAAAAAGAGAAGGTGAAAAAGTAAAAAGAGTCAACAAAAGGCCAATAACATGTCAATAATAAGTCAGTACATATCAGTTATAACCAGCAATGTCAATGGCCTCAACTCACCAATCAAGAGAAACAGACTGGCAAAATGGAATAAGAAGCAAAATCCAACAATATGTTGTATACAAGAAACACAACTAGTGCAAAAAAAAGCCCATAGACTGAAAGTGAA